GTGTGTGTGTGAAGAAGAGAAAGTACATGTAAGAAAAAAGAAAAGGAAGGACAAAAATTACAGGATGAAAAAGTCCCTTACCAATCCTGGCGACGGGCTCCTCCTAATGACTCTCTTTTCCTCATCTTCTCCCCATGTGCTCATCTCAACCCTGTAACTTGGCAGAACTAATATCTAGACGACTCAGAAAGAAGGTGAGGGGTATTTCTGGGCCCCCTGACTTCCAATTATAAGTCCATTTGGTCATGGATATTTGAGGAGCAAGAACAGAGAGAGAGAGAGAAGAGATTTGAATATGTGGATATTCAGCTAGTTTGTTCCTCTCTCCATCATTGCTCACCGCCGATCAATTTCCCATTCCATAACCTTGGAAACTGTTTGGGGTCATGGCGAATCAATGAGCGCACTCTCATGAAAAACTGAATAATTACCAAACTCTATGAATCACAGAGATTGGGAATGGTTTATTCATGCGTTTGTTACTTCAGCGCTGCATAATAGAGCCGTAACGAATGAGGTGGATGCTGACGGCTTAAAAAAATAATGGAGGGTTGACTGTCAGGAATGAGTGACTTGAATAAACTGATGGAGGCAGGATGGATTTTTACATCTGTTTTACCTTTTGTTTTTGTTTGTATCCTAATGTCACAGGAGTCATGTAAAAAGAAAAATGAACATTGAAAGAAAAGTAGAGTTAAAGTTAAGAAAAGAAATTCAGCCATTACAGAACTGCTTAAAGTTAAGGCTTATTAGCACTATAGGCTCATATTGTACAATAAATCCTCCTTCCTGAAAGTCTTGATTCAACTGCGCGACCATTTTGGAGGCTGTAGTTATCTTATGCCAACAAGATGATATCTTGTTGGAACAAGATATCATCTTGTACATATAAAAAATGGTACCTTTTGGCACTTCACGGGCTCCATAGCTCACGGGCTCCACAGCTCAGTGTTATGCACTGTTGTTGTTGTTGTTGTTGTTGTTATGTAGCTGTTGACGTGTTTGACTGTACTTGCTGTGAACACTAAAATAGGAGGAAAACTATCTCAGAGCCAATAAGATAAATGTGGCCTTTAGCAGGGCTAAATTTCACCTTGTTTACATATATTATAAAATGACACGTGAATTAATTGCCCAGTAATTCATTCCCTATGTTAAAGAGCCTTGAAAACTGCCATTTAAAGTTTCCTCTAATACGTATTTACCTGACAGTGAAACCAAACTACAGGTCATTTTGTCCGAGACATCTTCATGGATCCCCGAGGATGTCTGGATTTTACTGTTTTACATCACTTAAAAGCCGTCTGTGCCGTTTCTTCTCCCTCGTCAGATAAATTTTTTTCACATTGCTTTGTGTTTCCTGGCTTCCTCTGACACCAGCACTTCACTGTTCAGTAAGTACAAACGGGGAGAGGCGAAGCAGTTTAGTTTCCTCCTTTGGGAACCCATGGATGATCACATCCAGTGACATAACACTGACCTGTATTGATCACAGTGGAGACGAGGCCCTTTAACATGCTCTTAGGGAGTGTGTGCGCATATCACGATGAAAAGATAAAAAAAAGTCAGCATCTGCTGCAGAGAGATTATTATTGTTTGTCCTCCCTGTTGACAGCTCTTTACAGATGTGAGGCCTTTCTCTGAGCTTCACCGACTTGCATTGTATTAGGCAAAAGAAGAATAACAGAAGGTTTGAATATGCAGGAGTCACAGCTGTTTGATTTAGCTGCACAGAGCCGCCGCCCTCGAGAGGACCCCAAACATTAAATTGGAACTGCTGCTAAACTCCAAACTCGCTGCAGATCAAACTGAATCATCATTAGTCCATTAGCCTAAATCTAACTCAGGCAGGAGAGCAGAGAAAACTTAGGAAACACATGTCCTGATTCAGGTCTGATTGGCTCTGTGAGAAGGCAAAAGTCAACCAAACTCACTGCTGTTAGATACAGGCATGCTAACAGCACCATCCTGTGTATTTGGCCATATTGTTGAGTACTTGGCTTGCTGAGGATTCAGGCTTGTGCAGGAGGACTGGTCTGAATACTCTCTGGACATTGTGTGTGTGTACGCTGGACCTATGTGTTCACCTCAGCCATTTGTTCAAAGGCTCAAGCAGACATTCCCTCTGTCACTGTGCACATTGGATGCATGTTGTTGGTGTTTGATTGTGAAGTTCGTCCTACTTGGTTACTGTAGTTATGGTCTTATTTTGGACGCTCAGATTTTAATAATTTTTAATAGATTTTAACTGCACAGTAATTGAAGACGCGGCTTCTGGACTTTTTTTTCTGTCAAAGCAGACTGAGTGCTGACGGTGCACTGAGAGAAAACAGGCACCATTTTTTTTAAATATCAAATAACTTATTAAAAAGAACCCTATCAGAAACATTAGCACTTGTACACCTATCAGGGTGATAATATCCACCAGAAACCACAGAAAACACCTCTGCAAAACATGCATCAAATTTGTACGTTGAGTTTTTGGCTTATGTCCCATCCATGTTAGTGGATGGGACATCAGATGGTGCTTTCTGATGAAGAACTGACGCTGTTATACCCAGCTATGCTCTCTTCAAAGCCACCAGACCCATTTGACAGAGCAGCAGCGGTAGGCTGGCAGGTCAGCTGCGAGGTGAAATTACTGCTTTTATCAAATGAGTCTGGTGGCTTTTAGAAAAAACGACTCCTGTGTTCTGTGAGGTAAAATTAGTTTTTGTCATTGGAGTCTGGTGGGTTTTGCAAAGGGCTGTCTGAGGCAAGGTAAAACATTGAAAATAATCTAAATATAGAGTACACTTTTTTTTTTTTGTTAAGGCATACTAACCTTACTATATATAGTAACATTAATCCAAAACAAAAAAACTCTACTATGTTTATGCACTCACAGACTGTCATGCTAAGGAGCTAACGGTAGCTAACCTATTCATCCTACTTCTGTTTTTGGTGCAGTGTGTCATCCTTGAGTGATGTTGGATGGGGGTGTGATCTGAGGAGGTCTACACAGGAGCTGTCATGGCATCCATATTATATACAGTTGATGAACCCGACTAATAGTAGCAATTTATTAGCCATAGGCTAAGTGTTAGCCCTCACTAAGGGAGTAATAGCCCAACAAAGGTACAGTACATGTCTCCCATAAACTGTTAATACATCCAAAAACTGTTCACCCCAGTATATTTTCTGTCACCAAATAAAACTTGCGCCCCCCCCCTCATGGCAGCTGAAAAGTTATTTCTGGCTGCTTTGACATCAGATGTTTCAGGTGCAGGTGAACCATGATTGGCTTTCAGATCTGTGACATCATACATTTAGTTTGAAACAGCCTGACAGTGACAAACTGTGTACATACACCAGTCAGTGCAGTGGAGGACAGATACACACAGGGTCTAAGGTTAAAAAACAAACATATTTGAGTGGAGAGGGTCTTTAACTCTGAAGCAACATTGGCATACATAACACACACAGTGCTTTCTAGGCTGCAGGGACCATAATAATGCAGCAAAAGAAGAATTCTCTAAAGCAAACTGAAATGAAGGCCATTGTAGCTCACACTAAATCATCTGTTGGCGCTGCTAGTTTGCCAGACTGTAGAAAAAGAAGGGCCACGGGGAGAGAATACCTTAGTTTTTAATGGGAAAATGGTCCATTCTGGTCTCATACAGAGACAACTCTGAATGGTATCACTTTGTTTTGACAGATCCCCCTTAAATCTGAAATAGATGGAGGATATTTAAACTTACCTGTTTCTCCTATGCCCTCTAGCACCAGTATCAATACTGAACATCGTCTAGTTTTAGCCTACACAATAAGTGGATTTAATTAACACAAAATAAACAATCTCTCTATAATCTAGTTGTTGTTACAATAATACAACTAAAATTGTGTGCAGCACTAAAATGTTTATCTTCTATAGAAATGTATTTTGTCATGGTTTAATAAAGCTTGTATAAAATGTATAAAACAAGGAGTAAAAGACATTTCACTAGAGTAAAAACCTTGTTAATGCTATACTCATTCTTCAACACAATTTATTAATAAAAGTTCATGCAACTTCTTGTAAAACGTGCTGTGTAGCTGTACACGGTATCAAATGAACAGTTGACATGGCTGTAGAATTGATGTCCATGTTGTTTGTATGAAGGTGGAACCCGAAGGAATTCAGCACGTCATGACAGCTGTTGATTCTTCTGACATTGTAGATGTTAGTGTGAAGATGTGTGTCATATCAAAACCGAGTGAACCTTTACTAACCCTCAGATGATAAATGGATCCTGCTTATTGGTTGTGAAAGATGAGAAGAACTATTTTATTGACCTTATGTGGTCCAACCGTTTTGTTCCATTTCCAGATGGCTGCTGTTGGCTGGGCTACAGAGAATACTATTGATATTACATGTGACACTGACGTTTTGAAGCAGTTTCAGCTTGAAGCTTGGTATTAAGGCTTGTATCGTTTTCAGAGAATCGTGTGACTGCTATTTATTTGTTGACACAAAGAGATGTAGGAACTTCATGGGTGTAGTTGGTTGTTTGGTTTGTCAAAAGTGATCAATTGCTGCAATGTGTCTGTAGTATTGGTGCAGTGGCATGATGGATTATGATTTAAAACGCCTTGGCAGCAAATTGGCCTGATAACCCCACCTTCACTGGGCAGTGTAAAAGTGGCTTTTCTTAATCTTTCATGGCTGATGCTTTACCTGGACATGAAGCATAATATAACTAATTTGACAGGTGGTTTGTACCTTTTGTGAACCCACTGTTTCTTATCAATTTTACACTACCTTTGGTTCAACTCTGGAATTGTGGAATCACTTAATGTTGTCTTGGGTTCAAAGGCGAACTTGTGTGTGGTCAGCGCACTGTGCAGCAGTCAGCATCTCAACAGGGGAATCAGTACAGCTGGTGGTGCCAGAGATTCCATTCTTTGATACTCAAACAGAGAAAACATGGGAATTCAAACTGGAAACAGGAGAAGTAAGGAAAGAAACAGAAATGCAGTGCAGACCTGGCCTCTCACCTTATAGCATCTGTTTTTTATTTTTAATTTGCATCATACAGACGGGAACGGTTGCCAGAAATCTTCAGTAGTATGCAAGAGGTGTCTTGCCGTTGTCTGTTGGTGCTCTGGGGTAGCAGCTGTCATGTGTCCCCATCCAGAAGTTACAATTTGTTGTTGCTGTCCACAGTGTGTCTTTACCATACAAAGATAAATCTCCAGAGAACGTGTCATTTGGACTTTATGTATACAGCCTATAACCCATACAATATACTGTGTACTCCTTTAATGCCACATGTAACATATCTTAGATTGCTTTTAAATTCAAACATATTACATTGTTCAGGTCCTTAATACAGTACAGTTGTCGTTCACACCATGCACTACTTACTGTATGTCTGTCTTGACTGTGTCCGGGTCTTTGGTGCATGTGTATCCATGCATTCATATATTTATGTGTACTGTCACAGATGGCAGGTATGCACTCGCTGTTTTTTCCCCACAGAAATAGGCAGTTAAATGCCTTCTGGTTATCTGTATTTTATCATTTTTATGTCCGGTGCAAGTGTGAGTTTTCCTTTATAGCATCACAAATATTGTCATTCAGTGTGTGCATTCGCATCACGGCCTCACGTAAGGGTGCACGCACATGGCCAGTACTCCTGCTTCCTCTCTCCAATTCCTGTTGCATTCACAGTCTCTCAATGTCCCTGTATTTCTTCCTCAGGATGGACACCTGGTCTCTGAACAACACAGGGTCCAGCCTCATCTGGGAGTGCACCAGGGGCATGAAACCCAGCCAGTGGCTAAAGGTGTTCATGCAGGTCTGACGCTGGGCGAAGTGGTCTGGGTCGGCCCACCGAGATGCCTTTGAGCCCTGGGAAGCAGATGAGAAAACGAGGAGAGAGAGAGAGAGAGGATAACAGGAATCAGTCAACACAGGTCTGAGGTAGGTGTTCATGTAAAAAAAACTTTATTTACAGTGTTGCACAGGCAAAATGACACTAACACATTAATATGGTACAGTCCAGGTGATGCAGTGACCACCGGTAGACATGCTGATGAACTACTGTAGCTGGCAGCTAACATAGTGGCACTAGGCAGTTGAACTAGCTCCCTGAGCTTCTTGTTTTCTCTGCACTGAGCCATGAAAACCCCCCATAGCATTTTGTTCTCTGAACTCCACATTATTTCATTCAGTACAGATGTAGTGAAAAAGATCAGCTTGTTAACTGTCAGACAAAAGATGAACTGTACTGCTAACCATGCCTCTTCTGTGCTGGTGACAGAGGAAGTTTAAAAGTGGATGAGACAACACATCTAATATGCTCAGGGGTGTGATGGTACACCTAGCTCTGGCTGAGCCTGAACTATCAAATACAGTAAAAGACAGAACATGGATGCTGACAGGAAGAAGACTCTTGTCAACATGAGCAGGGAGTTGTGCTTTGTCGTCCCACTCCGCTCTGGTTCTGTTATGCACTGATATCAGTGACAGCTTTTGCATGGTCACATTTTAATATCGTGAGATCTCATGGCACAAGATCTCGTCATACCCTTAAATATGCTACAACAGCTTCCTCTATTTTGGACGGTTAGCCCCGTCTTCATGGCTTGTTATTGGTCAAACGTGCAAATTCACAAGTCAGAGTTCAGGAACATTGAATTTAGTCCATTAATGGTAGGGTTGGTGGTTTGACGCTGAGGGTTGGTGGTTTGACCCTCTTGTGTTTAAGTCAACAAAGGGGGAACTGAGGAGAGGTGTAGGTGCTATTGAGCTTTTCTGTTTGAGACTTGACAATGTTGCTTGCCATAGCAGTACATACCTAGTACCCAGTGGCCTGCAGCTAATATCAGTGGTAGAAGTAGTACTTTTTAATTACCAATACCACAGTGTAAAAATACAGTTAGAAGTAGAAGTCCTGCATTGACAATGCTACTGGTTATACAGAATGCCACATTTCATATTGATGCGTGTTATTGTTATATTTATTGATGAATTGTTGTGTTCACTTCAGTGTTGCAGCTTGTAAAGATGGAGCTAATTTTAACTACTTTATATGGTGTTTTGATGATGCTGTTGATTGTACGTTTTACTGTATTTTCTGCCTCCACACCAGTGATAGATGTGGCCAGAGGCGCTAATGTTTTCAGGTTGTCCATCCACCCCGTTCTTATGAATGCGATAACTCAAATGCCTTCTTCAAATCTGGCACAAACATCCACTTGTATTCAAGGATGAACTGATAGGATTTTAAGACCTCACATCTGTCCCATTTCTGTGAATTTGACTGGTTGGCGGAGGCACACAACCACGCAGCGGTAATTCTAGTTCGAAGTACTTTACATACTGCTGGGTAGATTTTTCCTACCAAGGATCAATAAGGTCTTGATTATCCAGTATTTTGTGTAGTTAATCTGATTCTGAAAAGTAATCATAGTATAATCTCTGAAATCTAGTATGAGGTAACATTAAGTGGAAATACTCAAAGTACAGATACCTCAGATTTGTACTTCAGGGCAGTGTTAGACTAAATGTGACCACCAATGAATATAGGTGTTCTACTGTAGAACACCTATATTCTATAATAGAACACCCCTCACTAAATAGGGGTGGCGGACTCAGACAACTTGCCATCCATCTACAACTCTGTTTTGAAATTTCGACCCAAACATTCCCACCCTAATTCACACCAGGACAATAGTCAGTCCACGTGTGAAGGTTCAAAGACAGGTAATGACTGTCACCGATACCAGACCCTAACAACTCAGTCATTAGGGGACATTGTTGGCCGTCGAAGGACTGAAACACCACCCGGGGGATAAATACCTCCTGTTCACCTCCAGTTGGACAGAACTAATGAAGCCTCTTGGATGAGAGGTGAAATATCTTCTACCTAAAACCAAGTCCAGATGATTTTTTTCTGTTTTTCAGGATACTACGACCTGGATGACTGAGAATTTGCAAGGACATGTTACAAATATGTGCTCGTGTGCACTCGCATGCTGAGCTGCAACCTGAGTAGCACTTGTGCACCCTCAAACATTTTGGTGGGGATTTACTTCCACATGCAGGCCCTGCTAGATTCTAGTAAGTCAGGAAGATATCGGAGGTCTGTGCAGTTGCTGTGCGTTGTTCCTCTCAGCAGCATTTGAAGCCTTCCGACTTGCTCGTGGATGACTTCCTGATGCTGTCTCCTGCTGCCTGAGGGGGAGGGCTGTGCGGAAGCCAGCAGACCTGTTTGATAAACTTTGGCAGTGGGGGTGTGGAGTCAGAGCAGATTGATCCGGTGCTGCTGGATGATGGCAGCGGGTGGGGGTGGGGGGGTGGGCAGAACCCTTTAATCAGAGGCAAGAAGTGGTTTGGGACACTGCACAATATCAGTCACGACTTCTCCTATTTCAACTAAACTTTTCTTCACTGGCCAAAGTTTCCCAAAAGATGTCGGCTTCTTCCCCCTTCTGTGTTAAACGCCTGTCTGCTGTAGCCTGAAGCAAGGTAACAAATCGGGGGTGAGAGAGGGGGAGGCAGGAAGAGACAGACACTCAAAAGAGAGAGAGCAAGCGAGGGAAGGAAGGAGTAAATCTAGGTTTGCCACGCTGCCTTCACAATTAAGACATTAATCACTAAGTCCATACTGCAGAGTCATCATCCTGCCTGTGGTCACACAATCAATCAGAACCTGACATAGGACACACAGACACACACACGCACAACATGCACACACGTGGATCTCCCAGAGAGAAGGTCAGGGCTGGATATAGCCTAGAGATTTCTATTCTCACTCCTCCTACACAGGGACAGGTACATCTATTCATTTAAAAAAACGCAGTCAGGGAAATGATTTCTTTTGTCAAACCTGTGGCCGTTTCACTCACTGTCGGTCATTATTACAGGTACAGTGTGGAGTTTTTCCACTGCTAGTAAATGTTTTGATAACACGGTCTCTAGCTTGTTCTATCTTAAGCTCTTATAGCAGCAGCAGCAGGACACTGGCAGAGACCTCAGGAAGAGGGATCCCTGTTCCAGGACAGACCAACAACCCGGCCAGTGGGCTCACACCTCCTCACTGCTCAGCAGTTGGTGGCAGTGATGTGTTAAGAAATCTAGAACTGTAGCACTGTGCCAGCAGAATGGAGGAGGAAAAAGGAAGACTACAGACACATTCAGATGTCAGCAATGCAAGTTCCAACCTATTCAAAAAAAGCTGACAGCAGATATTTTATGAGGAAGGAAATGCATTAATTATGTTTGTTAGACTTTATGGAAAAATTCAGGAACACTGAAGGTAACTGCACAGGTATGGAAGTCAATTCCCACCAAAATGTTCGAGTGTAGACTTGGTAAAGAGTGCACGCCCGGGTGGGATTACGCTCTCACAACTGATTCTGCATTCATCAGTCTGTACCTGCTCACTCTCAAATGCTGAGTTGCAGCATGAGGTTGTGGTTACTGCGCCCTCTAATGTTGTGGTGGGGATTTACTTCCATAGCACAAAGGACCTAAAAGAGGAGGAGGACTGACGGAAGAGTCAGGATCCACTTGTCACATCATTGCCAATGGGTCACTGTAGATTCATTAAATGCAGAGACCTCACACTTGTGGTCTAATTGTAATTTGTGGCATCAAAGGATGCACAAAGCACTTTTTGCTTGCAACTCAGCATTTGAGAGTGAGCAGGTAGAGATTTGTTAGTATTACAGCGTAATCCCAGCCATGTGCACACTTGTTTCTGTGCTCTCGGATATCTTCTGTGGAATTTGTGTGAAAGTCTCAGGGCATGGATTTGTAGGAGCAGAAAGATTTGAGCAGCAGGCATCACCCGTGCACTCAAATTCTAACTTGCAAACTGAACAGTGCTTTAAACTTGTTTTGTGCTCTTTCAAAACATTTGGCGCTGAGATACTTTCTCACAAAACACAGTGGCTTTTTCCTTTGTCTTTTTTTTGGTGGGAGCTAGTTTTGGGCCATTCCTTCGTAACTCTGTAAACCATTTTGTTTACTTTGTATGAAGGTTACCGATCAATAAAAACCACTTTTTAAAAGGATTCTCTCTTGTCTCCATTACCAGGACTTGACAGTTCCTGAAAGCTTTACATAGTGCTAGCATCCTGTAAATGGTAAAAGGTTCATGTAAACACAAGCTTGACACACGAGTCCTGCACTAGGTTGGGTGGACAATGTAGTTGTATTAAGTATGGGCACAAATAAACTAAAGAGTGGCGGGCAGTGGGTGTAATACGCAGATGATTACTTCAAAGTCGGCCATCGTTGTGGGATGGTACATTCTGATAAAGGGCAGATAACTTAAGGTTGGACTCGTGCAGGACTCGGCTCACACTACAGGAAGATCTGAGGACTCCATATTCTATCTGGGCTCTCCACTTAGCTCACTGATGACTGAACAATTCTGCTGTGAAATCATTTTGATCTTTAAAGTATAGGGCCGGTCATTTTCTATATTAAAAGTATTGTGAACACTCACCACACAGAGACTAAAACCAACAGTGAGGTGCCTCTATTCATGGTTAATGTCCGTCAGACTCCAGCCTGGATCAGTCTGTGTCATAGACCTCTGTTGTTGATAAAAACGATTAAAAACACATCAGCAAAACACACCACTGCACTGGGTGACCCAAATATTTGTTAAAAATGTTGCCCCAAAAGATTTTGACTTTTTACCGCATCTGAAACGTGGAAGACTCAGCTACACAGGTGCGAGATCTCTGTGCACGCTCTCTGCTTTAACAGTTGGCTAGCTTTCACAGAGATGTGCATTTGAGCCTTACTAGTTCAGATAGTTGGCTAACTTTCACAGAGATCTCACATGTGCATTTGAGCCTTACTAGTTCAGATGCTGTAAAAAGTTATGATCATCAGGAGTATTTGAATATAAGACGATCACGTTGATCCAGGTTGGAGACTGACGGACACCAACAGTTAACTGTTGGTTTTAGCCTCTCTATGGGGGAGTGTTGGAGATTATTAATGAATGAAAATGGCCGACCTTATCCTGTAAAATCAGTCCTTGTGCTGGACAGTCTTAAGTACAAACCCAGTGTGACTGTCACTGTAAAAAATATCAGGGCCGTCCTACCTGGGTCATCATGGTTTCCTTGTACTGCTTCTTCTGTGTGACTTTGATTGGTGGTTGCTTGGTAACAGCCGAAACCAGGAAGTTCATCAGGATGTCCTCACAGTTAGCCATGTGGTCCACCATAGTCAGCAGGCTGGTGGGGACGTAGTGCGTGAACAGGTAGTGGTAATATCTGACAAGCACACAAGAAGAAGAAAGCCAGTGAGTGTGACTTGTATATGACTGTCTTTTTGTAAAGCTGCACTTCTCTTCTGCATGTTGCGACCTCAGCAACATGGGAGCTCTAGGTCACTGTCAGCTCTGGTACCTCCCTGCCCAGCTCTGCCAGCACTCGCTCTCACAAACTTGCACTTTCCACCTTTCCTTGTCACTCTGGCTCATTTTCTCTGCCTGGCATTGGCATTTGAGATTCTGAATAACAAAGGGCTTAAGAGTCGCATCCTCACAGTCAAACAATGAGAGAGCTGTTCATCTCTGTGACAACATACTTCAAATCCCCTCAGGGAGCAACACTCGTCTCTGTTCAGTTTACCGCTCTGCTTAATACTTCAGTTTGCCTTTTTTTTTTAAATCCAGTTGTAGCTTTGTGTTCTTGACAGTCATTTTATGAAATAAAGAGGTTGGAGAAAGACGAGCATCCCAGTTCCTTTCCTGTTAGCTCAGTAAAACAGAAAATCAGAATCAGAATCTGCTTTATTGGCCAGGTGTGACGGGCACACTAGGAATTTGACTCTGGTACATCGGCTCTCATTGTGCAAGACAGTAAACCAGCAAAATAAACGTGACTGGTGAGAGACTTTAAAATTGGCTCGTTTCTTATGGAAAAGGAAAAGCCATTTCAGTGAAGATGGGCTGGACCCATCTGACAGCATGTTCAGACTAAACTGCACCAAAACATGGGATCCACAATCAAACTAGAAGAGTAACTGCAGATGAATAAATTTGGGCACAAAAGCACATTTGTTTTCAGACAAAGCTCTGTACTCTGATAGGGCAGCTCTTTCATGCCATCCAGAGATATTAAGGAGGGAAAGGAATAGCGCGATATATAAGAATAATTTATCACTATGTACAAAAAATATTTAAATGCAACAGTGAAACAACAGCAGTGCTGCACCGATCAGCAGGAGATGGGGTACCTGTGGTAGAAAGCTGCTCCTGTGAGGACCATGGAGTAATCGTTGGTCCACTTGGAGGTGTAGCCCCAGCGGGATCGGGAACTATCCCAGTAGTGGCTCCTTGCTGGATAGCCAACAATACGATCTGGAAAACTCTGCCATACAATAAAGGCAAAATCCACCTGGAGGAAAGAAAGAGGGTGGAGAAGAAAAAAATTTAAAATGTTTAAATTTGTTCTGTAGTGAGTGAAATAACCTCTTTTCAAACTAGCAATTGGCTTAATCAGATTCAGCAGGCCTCTGATTTGGAACTGGATTCAGATTCGCTGTAATGCTGATGAACCCCGTCGTTACACCAGCTGAACAGAAACTGCTGTACAAGCAGCTGCAGCTTCTGAACTAAACACAGCTCAGGTTTAATCACTCAGACTTAACCAACTTAAGGTGTGGCCATTGTTTTGGAGGTAATAGTTTAAAGTATTCTGTGCACTTCTTGCATACAAACACTGATTAACTGAACTGATGCCAATCCCCAATGCTTCACAAGTGAATTATTCTCTAACGCATTCATTTACTAAGAGGGTGCTCGTCATCTCTGGAGCTGCACATCTTTGTAGCGGGTACAAGACGGGACCATGCCTTTCTTCCTCTTAATCTTCCCAAGGCTCTCTACTTCCCCATAAAGGACAAATTGCATGTGGAGAGAAGCTTGAACTACCTGAGACAGACCCCTGTGTGGATTCATAAACACCACCACGATGTGCAGGCATACACACCAGAGAAGAGGACCTGCATACAATGAAAAACCTACAGACACACACACACACAGCATCTCTACAGCCCAAGGAGAAAATTAATTACAGGTATAGTAGAGGTAGAGAGAGCGAGTCGGGGAGGGGAGCACCGAAAGTGGAGGTTCTTTAGTGATACCTCGCGGCTTCTGTCATGAATCGCGTGAGCAATTACCGTGAAGTGCCAGCACTAAGCCAAGAGAAAGGTTGGAGCTGCCATTCTCAGGGTAGCCCCTGATGAACGGATGTGTTAGCTCTGTGTGTGTGTGGTTGTACATGTGTCTGGATGTGAGACGTGTCAGATAAAATAATTTTGCCTTCAGAGATTAAAAGGATTCTGGCGTGTGTGTGTGTGTGTGTGTGTGTGTGTGCGCGAGTGACTGACAGAATCCAGATTCCTTGCACTCATAATCTGGTGGTTTTAATTACAGTTTAAAAACAGGGGCTTTAATATGACTGAGGAAAGTTGAACAGTCTGTGTGTGCGTGCACGTGTAATACATACTAATAGGTTCTACAAGGGCAAAACTGATCTGAGGAGCACGGGGTCAATCCGACAACAGATCTGTTACAAATTTCTCCTGACGGTCTGGTTTAACATATCCAATGTTTTGACATGAAGAGGAGCTGCTCACACTGTAGAGCCCTACACTCCCCTCAGTGTGTGCTTTTGAGGAGATGCGTTTCTTCATTTTGCTCCCTATGAAGCAAGACTACTGCAGTTCTTTTACTGTTGACTTCCATAAGATTTCAGGGAAATGTGCCTTGAACCTTAAGTTGTAGCTGCAACGTCACCAAAGCCACAACGCTCCAGGTGTCAGCTGCAGGGCTGTAGTCTGCAGCATCTTTTGACTGGCAGCTCTTCTCACCAGGTACTCGTGGTAGTGTGTCAGCTCTCAGTCCTCCAACACTCATAAAGAAAGAAAGCTCAGTCCTGTCAAACTTTCAACCTCCCAGAATTATTAGGTGCCGACTGTTGGCCACAGTTTCTTTCCTTGATTGATCACAACTGCTTATATGAAAGTTTCAGGTTCTAGTGCAGGCTTGTGGTTCTCCACTATGAGCTTCTACTAAACAGTAGTAGTGTGTGGCCTTGTCTATTTAGGATCAGGATTAAAAATTAGGTCAAACCTGCCTGAATAAAAATGAGTCCACAGTTTTCCTTTCCTTATCTCATCACGAGGCTAAGGGGCCATCTACTGCGCAGTAATGCCTCAGATTCTATTTAGTTTATTCATTCTGCCTTCTCAACTCTCCGTACGCATTTAAAGCTCTAATAGTACACACAGCAGACAACGCTGGCCGTGGTCTAGCCCTACGCGTCAGCCCAGTCTCTGAAACTGGTTTCTTCACAGTGGAGGCTGGAAAACTCCCTCATCTCCTGAATCTGAAAACCACGTTACCTTTCAGTTTTGATTATTCTCCAGATATTTGTACACTTCAAACTCCTCTCACTTCCTACCACTAGATGCTTTTAATTGTGCTTATCAAAGGGAAGAAAACGTCTTTTTACTAGAAAGTGTAAAAGGAAAATGCAATAATAATAATAATTATTATTTATTATTATAATGTCTAGACCTTACTTTGTAAAGTATCCTTAGACGACATTTGTTGTAATTTGGCGCTATACAAATAAAGCTGAATAGAAAATTGAATTGAATCTCTTCTGTGAATTTATGATTACACTGACAGCTGGTTTAAGTCCACATTAAAAACCCCGCCTGCTGATAAATGATGATTATTTTCCAGTGACTAGAGACGCCTTCAAACGAGGAGAGGATCACGATTCTGCCGTTGCTGTTGGAGCACTATTTCCATATCCACCATATTGAAAATGTCTTTCACAGGGCATAATGCAGCAGCATGCGTGGCCGCCCAATGAGAGGCAAAAGCTTTGTCAGGTTTTTCACTTGTATTCCCTCCTCTAATCCTTCTTCATGGAGTAATCATACATTTAATGAGCTGAAACGATGTAATTATGAAATTGGCACAGCTACTGTTCCACTGAGGTATTATAAGAAAAGTCACATTAAAGTCTGATATTCTCTCTTGCACATTTTCACTCACTTGACAGGTTTCAGTAAACCCCCCCTCACCATGTTAAAAGGGCAATTAGGACGACCATCACAGCAAAGATTCACTCTTCATGATTTCTCTCCGTCTCTGATGTTGTCGTCTCCTTGTGCCCATAAAAGTTTAGTAGCAGACTCATTTTGCTGTGCAACAAACTGTAGTGCACTAAAGTTTAATTTTGATCCTGTTAGCGCAGAAAAGGTGAACATTGACTTGAACCAATCAATAAAACATCTCAGAGTTTAAAGATATATTGGCTCTCTCAGGCTCATTGGGCTTCACAATCCATTATGGATCGCATCTTTTGCTCACAAAAAATCTGTAGAGAATAGAGGCTGCTACTTTTAATGACTCTCAAAAAAGCTCAATGTGCAGCTCCAATTTACCAGTTCTTCTTTTCCCTGCTCACTCTGTTTTGCTTTTATTTCCTTCCTCTCTTTTACCTCTGCTCTTTTCTCCTGCCTTGTGTTAGGTTAAATTAAGAGCGATCTGAACATGATCTATCCTAACAACACACATTGCACCATAATTTAATTAAGGCTGGGTTTGCTTTGCAGTAAATTACTGAGCCTCTGGAAACTGATGTCTGAAATCAGAGCTCTTTGCTTTGCTTTCAGTCTGTTGTCCAGCCCTGTTGAACTGCTAGACTTCCTACTCAGTCTAATTTCATCTGATGCGTTTGGAGCCGTTTAAAGGCAGAGCACATTTTCCACCTCTACTTCTGTTGCTATTGCACTGTTGCTCAGATTCAATTCATTTGTAGTGAATGGTATTCATGACTGTGCGTGGAATGAGCGTCTCATCTCAGCAAGGATCAATACTGCATTAAGACATCGCCACCTTTTGCCACCGGCTGACAAAAAATCCACGCAGGCTGGAGCTGGCTATCAAAACACTTCCACAGGCTGGAGTCTTGCCAACGTGCAGAGATCTTTTCAGTCCATCTCTATACGCATTTATTTAGTGAGCATCTACATGCTTACTTCTATCAAAGTAAATTGTAGAAAGTTTTCAGACGAACAAAAATGAATTTGTTTTTGCTAATTGGCCACAGTCTACAAGCTTTGCTCAACATGTCTCATTGGCTGTTCCACAAGATGCTCTCAGTGTGACCCGAGTTAGCCTTAGTCAGCCAAACACAGCAGCTAGTCCCGATCCTAAAAGGCTTTTCTGTTGTAATGTTAAAATTGAAAACATACAGTTTGAAGATACAAACAATAAAGCACAAATCTGAGTTCTATGTTGCTTGTTCAGGGATGCAGGATCAGATTCTTGTTCAGACTTTTTGCCTGGGACATGCAGGATACAGGATGCTTTTCATTGGGTTCGCACTAAATTCTAAAAAGTCATATAGCATTTTCAACAAGGTCCTGAAAACCAGGTTATCTTAATTAGCCAACTAGCTGCAGCTAGTAAAATCTCAGTCAGATTTGATGACTGCTCACTAGAAATGAAAAGCTGTTTTTGTCTACCTCTGTCTGAAATCAAGGACTCATTGTTTCAAATATTACTATAAAAGTACACCCACCTCTGAAGTTTAGGTACTAAGAGTTTAGTCTTGGGAAAACTAAGGAAAAGGGGAACAAAGTATACTGAGTACAGTGAGAATCCACAGTCTACCACAGCTGTCCTACAAGTACTACAGTCGGTATCTACACTTGCATGTTGCTACTGTGTGCTGTCATGTAATTTCTGCTTTTAATGTTTTAAATTATTTGCATTCCAGTGTTTTATCTATTTGTGTGAACTGTGTTAAGCACGTCAAGTTGCCTTTGTGTATGAAAACATGCTATATAAATAAATTTCACCTTTCCATCATTTAAACTCCATACGAAGAGAAAGCTTAACAGTCGTAGCAGCAGCAGTCATTTTGGAACAACAACAGTCTGCACTTTTTTTTTGGTCTGATTTTAGCCATGTGGCTGTTTTTTTACTTAAGCTATTCGCGGAGTAATTCAGTGGTTTAGATTATAATCCCAATGTTGGATAACAGTGTTGTGCTGGCCTTGGGTCTTGGGAGTGTGGCCGTCTCACCTCATTTTGTTGATGAAGCATGAGTGTCTCAGTGCACCGGTTTGTAAAACATCAGTGTTGGGCCAACTGGTTGATAAACTATCAGTGTCTCACCTCATTGGTTGAGAGAACTGAGTCTTCATCCAGACTGAGGACAGCATCAGTGAGGATGACGTCGTAGGGGAAAAAACGACTGCTCATCATCTGGACAGACAGAGACAGAAAAAGGCAAATATTACCAACAACAATGGCCCAATAACTTTAACCCACCCAAAGCAACATCACATTGTCAGGAAGCAATGGAAAAAGTGTGGTTAATTACTTTGCATTTTACTCAGCCATTCCCCTGAAGCAGGTCAAAGACATCTCATTTGTTTCCAGAAAATATATTTACTCAAGTGAACATTTTAAAGGCACAGAGTTGGTAAAGAGGTGTGAAAAGATCGAGGCAAAATAAATGACCAGTGAGGAAATGTTTGTTTCACTCCCTGCTGCCTGTCCATCGATCACCGTCCTGACCTAATAGGTTTTATGTGGGTCTTTATCAATTCACTGCCTAACAGAAAGTTTAGTAGACCTTGATCCATTAGCCTAAAGAGGGCTGCTGATGATGTTATTGACTTGAGAGTAAAGTCTGAATTAGTTAACTGCGTAGAAAAGGAAAAAAGCCACAGCTCTTGGCTGAATAAAGTTCAGCTCAAGTTTTAAACAACCATCTCCCTGAAAACAAACAGGCCCAAACTGAAACAAGGAAATAAGGTTCTGTCGCATTACACATACTCAACAGACAAGCACGAGTCTGGAAATGTAAACTTTTACAACCATGTCTACAATTTGTGGTCATGATTATTGCTTATTCCCTTCATCAGAACCATGACATCACATGACTGTCCAAGGCTCACTGTGTGGTTTGAACCGAGGTGTAATGTGACTGTGCCTTTAGTCTGATGAGCAGCAGCTACTCATTTGTCTCCTGGATTTGACGGAGTAATCGTGCCCTGTGATTGATGTTTTTGCAGAATTTATTTAAAAATCTTTGCCATGAACATGATCAAACTGAAAGACACTCAATACTGACTTAAAATGTTGCACCGTGGCACTTTTACTCCAGTAAACATCAGTAATGGCACTGTCCTTAAAAGCCTCATATTGACTGTAGTCTGTCTGAGTGATCCCCCCCCCCGGCTGATATCAGTGCTTTTCTGCCTTTGGACAGAGATCAGATCCTGCTGAGATTACTGAAGTTCAATGGTCTGAGCCTTATCTTTGTCGCTCTCCTTTTACACATTATATTTGCCAGGACTCCCTCTACTTCAAGAAGAGTCTTTGGAGATACCCGCTCTCTCTTTATCGTACGGATATAGATGTCTTAGATGTCTGGAAATTACAGTGGGCGGTCAAAGATCACAAAGCTATCTGCCATCAGAAACCATGGGCAGACACTTTGTCTCCTGATGAACATTTTACTGGTGTGAAACATACTGACTCCAAGAAATTGTTACATTTTTGATCCTTTACATGTCATCATAGTGTCGTAGCAGTCGGTCCTAATACCCAGACCTGAGTTAGCATTTTTGCATCCAGGTTCCCTCATCATGAAGTCAACGGGTTTTTGAATGGGCTTTTGGTTAGAAATAAGGTCTGTGGTTAACATAGGGCCAATACATTTTCATGGTTTGTTCTGCAACATAAAATATATCTGTAAATGCCCCACTTGTGATTTTTAATGCCATCTTAAAAAAGGCAGTTGCTAACAAGTGCCTAAATGAGACTACAGAGGCTGTGGGACATTAAACATCATCACGGACACTCATCTGTCCACTAGTGCACTTATAAACTATTCTAACGAACTGACCCAGCTGTGATTACTAGCTAGATCAGGTCAGGCTAAGAGGAAAGAATTTTGTAGAAGAGGTAAGCGCTATAAATCACTTTGCAAGCTGGAAGCCGAGGTGGTGACGCTGAAGTCATGGGGCGTGGTGTGGTTTGTTTATAGCCCAACAATAGCTTTATATTCTGTCGATTGTGTTTGGGCTTCAGAAATCATAAAAGTATGTTCACCTGTGACGATTATCTTGCTGAACAAAACGTGTCAAACTTTTGTCACTGATCTTATTTTATGCAATAATCCAGATGCCTATGGAAAAATCCCACTGACTTTTTGTCGGGGGAAGATAATTGTGCTAAACAATGTTTATAATCATTACACTGGGAATTCAATCTCACATGCTTTTTGTATTGTGTAAGGTAGAATACAGGACAAGCTGTGTGTTCCTTGATTGTAATTGAGGACGCGGGGGCTACGGACCACCTGACAATACAAGAAATGATCTCCACTGGACAGCCAGCGTGAACACAATTTTATTAAAACTATTTTAATAGTATTGTGTTGCTGAACGCATCGCTGTTGTTTGGTCTTGACAATGACAACAATCTGTGAAATTTCTTCAGGATTATAAAACCTCTGGATGAGCCTTGTGAAGGGCTTCCTGTTTAGCTAGCTCGAAAAAGAAATACTGAGGGTCAACAATTATATATTTTGATGTTTAAAAATAAGATCAAAATGAACTAGTTATACGTATTTGTAAGCTTGTGACAGATGTTTATAGTCTGAAGCTTAAAGACAGTTTTTCCAACCTACACTGACCTTTAGGTTTCAACATTTGGTCCTACTTGACCTTTAGCCTCTCCACATTAATCCTTTGGTATAATTTAAATGTATAGCTAAGGAGTCAGGTTCAATGTGGAAGATTAACTTATCAATATAAAATTCAAGGGGCAAGGCATGAATTATTGAAAGGTGATTGATGAAGGTGAGATACAGTCAACACACAGTATTAGTGGGGAATCCATGGATCACTCCTTGGAGAAAATTGATGTGTGGGTCATAAATGCTTAGCAAGCAGGGCGTCATTTATAGCAAGGCCAAAGTGCAGCACACAGAACTGGTCATACCGGCCCTCATTTCCCCATGTGCTTAATCAGTTGGTAAATAATTTAGATGTGCACAATCTTAAATCATTAAGGTTAAACGCATGAAAGTGTCTCCAGGTCAATCAGTGTACAATCAAGTTTAACTTGTACCTCCTGTCTCTGAAAAACCTTGTCGTGTAAACTACATTATAAGCTGTGTATTGACAGTAAATGGGAAGGTCAGGATTTCCAAGAATTTCTATCGTGCATAATTTATCTTTCAAAGTGCCTGAAGCAGAAATAAAGACACTTTGAAAGATAAATTATCAAATTAAATGGAGGTAGTTCTGGTGTGTGCACCTCTCTCCAACGGCTAAAGAGAAAGGTTGAAGCAGACAGCTATCATACAAGTACTAGGTATCTAGGTTGCTACTTTGTACTGACATGTAATTATTGCTTTTAATTTGCATTTAATGTTTTAATCTATTTTGCATTCTAATATTTTATCTATGTATGCTTTTTAAGGTTTTATCTGTGCGCATTGTTAGGCACCTTGAATTGACTGTGTATGAAAATGTGCTATATTAAAAAAAAACCGCCTTGCCAAAATGCACCGACCACTGAAATGAAGACGTCTTTGAGTCTGTGGCCAGTCTTTTTTGTATTGTAAAACTCTTAAATGTTTAGAGATTTAACATGGTTATTGCTCAACGTACTATTTACTGGACACTTTCGCCTAGTTGACTCAACCTAAAGTAATCGTTGACCTAACAAAGATTAATACAATGCAGAAAGGATATGCTGAGAATATGAAAGACTGTAATAATGATAGATCAGAGAAGGCTATAAAAATCACCAAACACTTATCAAACCTTCTTAAGTTTATATTTCATCATTTGCACTGAAATAAAACAAAGTAAACATCAGCTCAAGGATTAAATTGTGATCAGTTGATGTTGGGAGCCTGTTTTAGTAGTGGCCGCTACAATGAAGTTAATTAATCAGGCCAACTGATATCCTCATTTCGATTGATACTGTTTGTTTGGACACACTGAATGGTGCATCAGATTTTACTACATCTTACCAACAGTCAGTGTTGGGTTATTTTAATAATGAGTACAGTCTTTCTCTTACGCTAATCATTTGTTTTTTAAATACAATGAAGGACCAGCAACCTACTTCCTTGTTTAGGTATGAGGGAAGTTGAGGAAAGACAGAGAGCAAGTAAATGCTTGCTGATGGAGTGTATCCACTCAGCATTACAGAGTAGATGCACTCATAACCACCAAATTACTCTGCTGCTGTGCTCCATTGAGGCAAATGACAAACTTGGTGTGTGTATGTGTGTTGTTATTATAGTGGGAACAAACACAGCGAGCGCTTGGAAAGAAATACCCTGAAGCGCGTCTGTCTGGGCGGCATGACAATATACCACATGACTAGTTATAGGTCCACAGACATTGTTGGACACTGACACACACCAAACACACACGTTTTATTGTCACCAGTGGAAGCATTGTTCTTGTATTTCAAGGGGAGATGTTTACATGAAAACAAACACAAGCAATTAGACTGCAAAGCATCAGAATTAGAGAGAGAGAGAGAGAGAGAGCGGGGTGTAGGGCAGAGAGGCATCATGTGATCAAGCGTGATTTTAGGAAAAAGCTCACTTGTTTAAATTGCTGTGAAAGCAAGTAAAATGAGAAACATGAGACAATTTTTCCCATTTTATGAAATATCACATAACAGTTATGAGTGGCTGTTTGTATGTGAAGAATTCCCCAATAATACTGCGAATGAGAACAATACTGACAAAGTCACACTGGCAGCTTGACTCAATCAAACCTCACCCCACTTCAATCTCACCATCTAGAGTCTATTTAAAACTGAAGCAGCGCTGCATCAGAAGTTAATTAACACAGGAAACAACATTATCTTATACGCTGTACAATTCTCTTGGTCCTGTGTTCCAGCCTCTCTGTAGCTGTTAATACAGACAGGATGGTTTGCATTGTTACCTCCGCCAATGTTTTTGGTTCTGTGTGTGCTTTTGTTGATTGGTTAGCAGGATTACAGACCCGGCTAAATGGATCATCAACATACTTGGTACAGACATTGGCGGGGACCAACCCTAGAGATGATTAGGTCAAAGGTCACAATAGTCAGTCAATACACAATTAAATACTCCAAAGAATGGGGGAGCATTCATATAAAAGTTAAATGATGTTTAAACGATGTTTGTTTGAAATATGACACGTATCTATCATCAGACCAAATTTCATCCGGATGTAATCCAGATTCCGGATCCGACGGGCATTTACAGTGAACATTGAAAACCACATTTAGAGCGTATTTTCTGCCAGAACCCTGAAATGTTCAGCTAAGATGCACAGCATAACTGTGCATCATACCCTGTCTTCTGCATTTTATATTTGTTATGTTTGTGTGCCTCTAAACTGTCTCCAAGAACATCTGGGAGTGTTTTTAAGTGCATGGGATCCTTCCCTTCCCTTCCACTACTAATAGTGTCTTCTAGAAAACCGCTAGATACCAAAAGCTCAATGTTTTATTTTCTGATGAAGCCTGTCAACAAATTACTATTAAAGTACCTTTGAGCAAGACCGTTTTATAAAGGGGAGATAAATGTCTTCACTGCTAAGCAACAAAGCAGCTTTTTATACATAGTGGATACAAAAAAGCCAGCAGCTGTTACCTTGGTCTGTCCTTCAACGACAGTGAGAGGCACGCTGGTGGAGGGCCACTTGTTCCTAGGAGGTAAAGGCTTGTCGCAGTTCCATAAAACCACAATCTGTATGAGAAAAGTACAGGGAGACAGATTATATAAGCAGCAACACTGGTATCTTTCACAAAGTTTAAAGATACAGTGGAACCGGTCTCAGGGTGCATTTTTTTCTGCTCTACAATTAAAACTTACTGAAGAATATCTAATTGTCAGAGGAAGTACACAGTCTTTTGCGCTACAGTATAAAATGTATCTGTCCCTATATCTTTATGCTGTATTCAGTAAAATCACTATGAAGTTACACAAAGTGTGAACAGATGAGTTATTCATAAGACACTTTACTCAGCTGCTGCTATGAGACAAACTGTGTCAATGTAAAGGAAGTCTTCACTGCACATATTTCACAATGAAGTTCAGTATAATGATGCTTTCTGTTTGTGTAACAGACCCATTTCCTTCCAGCCATTATTGCTGTCTTTTCCTACTACTACCTTTTGTAGGATACATGGGTTATTACAGCTTGTTAATTAGCGCTGCAGATAACGGCCATGTTCATATATTACAGAGGTCTACAGAAGCAGCTACAGTATGTATGGTGGTGTATTAGGGCCTCTGTTAGGTGATAAAGATAGAGAATAAAGCTGAAATATTTGGAGAAGGTCATTCTGTACGAGAAAAAAATTATAGAAATAATATAGAAACCTATGACTTCCACATTCTTCATGTGAAAATTAGATTGCCCTGACCTCTGAACTTGAACAGAGAATTTATATCAAAATTACATTTTTCACAAGGTATCATGACTTAAATCTTGAAATATGATGACTTTATGCAGTAATGGTTTTCCCCTACAGTGGCCCTTTAACTAAGTGGCTTTAGAAGAAAGGACGTACATGTGGAAGTAGATCCCACCGTGACATTTTAAGGCATTCTAACCACATTTTGAGCGCTCCTCAGTTTGCAACTCAGCCTTTAAGTGCAAATACAGATGTGAGACTGTAATCCATGTCCTACGTGCTCTTGTTTGGGATTCTGTGCTCTCTGATTTCTCCACTGGGGTTTACGTGAGAGTATGTCTGCGCCAAAAGTTTTGTAAGCGCACAAAACAAGTTGCGAGTGCTCTTCAGTTTGAGAGCCCACAAGAATGGATTTTAGAGAGCAGAAATAGATTTGAGAGAGGGATCACAGAATCATGAGTGTAACAGATTATTTGAGCGAGCAGCGAGAATCCTCCTTCACTCTTAAATCTCTTTCTGCTCTACAAATCCATCCCTGCACTCTCATCTGCAAACTGAAGAGAGCTTGTAACTTGTTTTGTGCGTTTTCAGATCTTTCACTGTGGACAGACCTTCACACAAACCCCAGTGGAGAAAGCCGAGAGTGTAGAATCAGAAATTAGAGCACACATGGCCTGGATTATGCTCTCACATCTGTATTTGCACTTATAAATCAGTGTCTGCACACTCTCAAATGCTGAGTTGCAAACTGAGTAGCGCTCAAAATGTGGTTAGAGCGCCCTCAAACCTTGTGGCGGGGATCTCCTTCCATATGTACACCTTATCACACTGTGTTATTGGAAAAAAAAAGATAAGGAAGAAGAAGGAAAGGGAGGAAGATGAACAGCACCATGGAGTCAAAGGAGGCAGGGGAAGAAAGGTGGTGATGATGACTAAAATTTGAGACAGTTTCAAGTGATATGATTCTGTTGGTCATGATTTTCCTTTGTTGCACCAAATCACACACTTCCCACCTGTGCACAGAACTTGGACTTGGCTACAGCGATGATGAGCTTCATCACAGGGGAGATCTGGGACTGCAGAGGAGTTACTGAATGGATCACTGCTGTGAACTGCTGCGATGGGCTCTTACCTGAACACACACATTTCAAAAACACTTATCAGGGGTAAACTGTATTCAGGCTGTTTAACACAGATTTGTGCACATGTAGCTCTCCATAAAGCCCCATTACGGTTAACTGGCAACAGACAGCTCAGTGCTGCATCCGTCATCCATCTTTCTGACAGGATATATACCCCCAGTTCACATGACTGAGCGTGAGTAAACATGCCTAAGAGTGAGCAGTTTGTGTTGAGTGTCTCTATTAGTGAGTTGCGCTATTTGCTCCTGTAATGAGCAATACGGTTCTCTACAGTCTCACAACAAACCAGCCTCTTACTGAGGCACACAAATGAACCAAACAGGATAAAAAGTCAAGCAGCAGAGCCAAACTTCAATTTACTATTTCCCCCACTCCACTTTGTGTCCACTGGAGCCTGTTTTTGGTCTCCAGCGTTCTCCTGAGGGAAATATCTGGCTTTTTAGCTGCTAAATGCTCCACTATGTTCTGGCTAGTTGCCAGTTTTGTCTATGTGGTGGGCAGGTCCTATACAGTGGGATTATTTGCTGAAAGACGCTGCCTGCTACTGGAAATTGGTGAGATGGAACCAAAACTGTAAGGTTGTGAACTGTAAAACCAAAACAATGAGCTCAAAGATGCTAAAGCACCTCAAAACTGCAGGGGCGTGTACTCAACCTCACAGATGTCTTAATAGGCAGCAAAAAGACTTTATTCCAACGTACACAATACATTGTGAAGAAGAAGAATGCCATTACTTTTTCTTGCGACTGTACTGTACACACACAGTAAACAGTGTGATCTAGAACAACCATTAGAGCAATAACAAAGCTTAATGTGCTGAAGAACTGATGTAAACTAAAACATATAAAAAATATATAAGGAATTTAACAAAGTAGGTAAATAAATACTTTAATGTATCAGTTTGTAGGGCTGAGGTGAGCAGCAGTCAGAGCATACGTCTCTGTGGGTTTGTCACTGTAAACAGCCCATTTCAAATTACACACAGTCATTTGATCCTTTGTTAATTTAAAAATAGTGATTACAGCAGCTTTTAAATTTTAAATCTCCAATGAGAGAATCTCAGATTACACACCAGGAAAACCGAGGCAGATATGGGAACATACACAGACACATGATATTCAGAACAACCGAAGGAGGCCGGGGTTATAGGCACGTGGCATGCCATGGGAACAGGGGAATAAGCATCCTCATGGATAAGTGGGGCCAGAGTGCTCTTTAGCGTTACTCTATCCATCTTTCTGACAAGAGACCCCAGACCAGCCATCTCAAGCGGGCTCAGAAGTACCAGGTCTGGGCTCGTGGACATCACAGAGATTGGCTGAGCCCTTCTGTTTCTACTGTGCTTTCTTGGAACGAGCTGTGCCACCTTCTGTTAATACTAGCTGAATGTTTGCAGATGCTGTACCAATTAGAACAAGACAGTTTTGGTATGATACATAATAATGGATAAACTGACTTTTGCTAGTAATTTATAGGAAGCTACTCCTCACAGTTTCACTGTGCAAAGTGTAGGGCCCAACAGTTTTGAAGCTTTGCTCATATGAAGTAGTAGTAGTCAATAAATAGTGCCCTGTGCTATGTGACTTAATTTCTTTTTAGCTTAGGGGGTCTAGTGAGACTCAAAACAAACTGGCACCATAAGTTGCTATTTTGTCAAAAGTGCCCGTGTTTGACTAATTCTTAGTTTTCAAAAGTTTTCTGTCAGGGGATCTTGGCTAAAATACAGTGGCTCTTTCGTAAATGAACTGAACAACAGTTTGCAGTTTGTTTTTCACAGCTCAGAGTAACACTGTACCACACACAACTGCTCAATTTTTTCCACAAACTAAAGTAAAGCTGTAACTTGAGCCATCAATTCAGGATATTCTTACAGTACAGCTCCTGAGGCCACGATGTCTGAGCACTAAGTCAAACTTTCTCAAACTACTAGGCTGAAGTTGCAAATGCTTTGCCATCAAAAGTTATGGGAAGGCAGCAGAGTGAAACCATCGTACAGTACACATGGCATTGACAACAAGATATTACCCGAGAGCAGCACTGGAGATGGCAGGAGCTAAAATAGTGATTTACTGCAGTGGCATAAACCAAATAGCCCCTCTTTCCTTCTATCCCTCAATCCCTCCCTTCTTTCTTCCTTCTAACCCCTGTGTCCATAATTCCTCTGAGAAAGACAAACATCGATCTGAGTTACAGCCTCAGTCTACTGAGAATCACTCCGGTCTGCATGCACAACTTTCTCTTCACTCTTTGCCTGCAGTTTTAAGTTTGCACCAACAGCGGTCTCATGCCACATACACTGCATATTTTTAAACACACATTGTTCATTTTGCCTGGGGTCAGACCCCTGACTCTGGCCTTCTCTGACTGGTTAGAATGGTGAGGCAAACTCATATTACTGTGCTGTATACTGCACTGCTGCCAGGCTGTTCAGTGAGTCCGGGCCAAAGAACCCTTTGACAGAACCTTTCCATGGTGATGTATGTTTTGGAGTGTATTTCAACTAATTGCATTAATTATTAAAAAAAAATGATATTCAGCAAAGCAAACTATATATCACATGGTGAGCTTGGATATTTGCTGCTTTTATGTTTGCTATTCCAAATAACCAGCAGCCAGTTCTGGTGTCTGTCTTATGTCCAAAAAACAAAACTATTGGTGTCACTAACATCCAGCAACAGCCTCCAGGTGAGCGTGTGGAGGCTGGAGCAGCAGATTATTTGGAATATATTTAAGAAAAACTTGGAGCATCCATGGCTGAACAAACAAAACATGTTTCATCTGCATTAGGACATCATGACCGACAAATGGTCTCTGGCAAGAACAGTGAAAAAAAAACAACAGTTTTTAATGTACCCATAGAAGATTCTTAGGCAAATTTAGTTTTAAGCATCTATTGATGAATTTATGGATGTTTATTCACAGTGAACACTGGAAATATGGATATCCTTCGTACATGTAGGTAACACTAGCCTCAAAATTTGGGTTAACTGAGTGTGTTCAAATTCCACAGAGTTATGACTCCGGGAATGAGTATGACGCAAACGGTACACTTGGTGCCGAGGGTTAAAGTATCTTAACTGCCTCTGAGCTGAGCGTCACTGCCACTGGTGTAGCTCCAACTGCTGAGTATGTTAATATGCAGTCCAAATCGGCTAGCCAAACAATTTGAAAACCTCTGGGCTAAGGCCTCTGACTACATTATCATTAAAACTGGAGCTGAAAATAAAATTCCTTTTGGGAGCAATTAAACTAATGATGCACACTACTGGTCAAAAGATTTAGAACACCCACATTTTTCCAGTTTTTGTAGACATGTAAACAGTTTAAGTCCAGTGAAATGGCAACAAGCTAAAAACTGCTAGAAGTAAAAAAAACAAAACAAAAAAAAGCTACCAAAAACTACAGAATGTGTTTGCATTTCATGTAAAACAGGCCTTTTTCAGGGATCCAGTAACAGGTTAACTGTTTTCTGCAGCAGTGGAAGTAAATGAAGCCTTGAAAACTGATGTGTCCCAACGTTGGCTGATGACTTGCAACAACAGACTGTCTCTGTGCAAAGGCAGTGTTGGAAAAGACTGTGTTACTACACTTACTACACCCTCTGAAGCATCATTTGGAGAAAGGCCATTAACAAAGGAGGTCAGAGCTTTTCTGAGTTTCATCCTATAGCAGGATAATGAGCCAAAAACACCTCCAGGCTGTGCAGAAGGAAAGAACAAGACATGCGGGCTTCAAATGATGGAACGGTAGCACAGTGTCCAGACTTTCCAGATGAAGAGTGAAAGCAAAGCAGCCTACAGGTGGACACATCTGTAACAGTGCTGCTTGTCCCAGTTATGTCTGACGTCAGTTGCTGATAGAATGACACAGACATGTTTGTATGTTGCATTACACTAATGATAACTAGAAAAATGGAGGTGATCCTGAACTTCTGAACGGCAGTTAAACCTTTGTCTATATGAGAGATAAATGATTTATAAAAGTCCCTTAAAGACTACTTAACTGGACATAAAAAAACAACTACAGTATCAAATGACAACAACTTGAAATAAATCCTATATAAGGCCAAGTCTTGCCAAACTTGATGAGATCAATACTTACCCAGTATGCCATAGTAAAACGGGAACTGGGCAGGGTCAATTGAGTACTGGGGGAGTGCGTAGAGGCCACTGGGCAGAGAATTCCACAACAATCGGTTTCTCGACACGTGGGAGTCCACACGGTCCTGGATGATCTGGAGTGAGAGGGTGACAGAGATGTACAGTAAAAAGAGGAGATGGAGAGGAAAGTGTGTTGGAAGAAAGGTAGAGGAGAGGTAGATATGTGAGGTAGAAATTAATAATAATTAAAAAAGAACAAAAAACAATTTGAGGGAAACATTTAAAATACATGAGCCCATGAGAAGACAGATAACACAAGGAAAGGCAGGAGACAAAAGGGGATATAAACAGGTGCAAGTGAAAAAGATGGGAAAGGAAATGAGAGAAAACAGGTGAAAGTGGAGAAAAGGTGTGACGAGAGAAAAAGAAAAATTAGTTGAACAATTTCTCTCTATTTCATACACACAACTTTGCAAACATAACAATTATGTGCCTCATAAAGGCTGTAAATATTTTCCCTTTTATGTTTAGTGGTTTCCAGTTGCAGTCATGAAATTCTAATAATTTGGAAAATCTTGTACACTGAAGGTATAACACTAGTAGTCACACACTCGTGCATATGTGTATTTCTTGGCAACTCGATAAAGCTTGCTTTTGTGGCATAAAAACACTTGTTTAGCACCAAGTAAATAAAGTCATCACACCTTCAGAAAGTGTGCTGGGGAAGGTGTTATGGGAACCTGAAAGCATCGCCCCAGTTGTTGACAAGTGGAGACAAAAGGAATAGACAAAAGGAATAAATCAGAGAGGAAGAACAGAGGGAAACAGAAGTAGTGGTTACAAGCGCTTAGAACTATGTATTCATTTCATTCATATTTCAAGGAGCACAGATTCATACATATTGTTTGCATGTAGTACAAGCAAAGCTATTTATTGTTCTGACACCAAATGCTGAATGAAAAGAGGTTTTTATGGGATTGACCAGAAAACGTCTTTCTAACGACGAGCGCTCGCAACCGCTACTTCTGTTTCCCTCTGTTCTTCCTCTCTGATTTATTCCTTTTGTCTCCACTTGTCAGGCGATGCTTTCAGGTCCCATAACACCTTCCCCAGCGCACTTTCTAAAGATGTGATGACTTTATTTACTTGGTGCTAAACAAGTGTTTTTATGCCATAAAAACAAGCCTTACTGAGTTGGCAAGAAATATACATATGCACGAGTGTGTGAACACTAGTGTTATACCTAAGAGATTTTCAAAGCTCCTTTTATGTTGCTGACAGCCAGGAGAGTTACTGGAAGCCACTAAAGAAAACCTTCTGATGCAGGCTTATAGTGACAACGAAAATGGCGAAGTATCCTGGAATCTTTATGACACACACAATTGACAGAAGAAAAGCAATCTGCATTTACAGTACAATCTTAAATTTAACATTCATGATTTTTTAAATACATTTATTTATTGTGGTGACCAATTTATTATGAGTGTAAAGCATTTAAAAGCAACAAACAATTTTACAATTTTAATGACTTTTTTTCTGAGAACTGTCTGCAGGAAGCAAGATTTTTTTATAAAAATAACTACCTTAACATAAAATATGTTAATATTTTCAACCCTGCTTTGACAGCTAGTCTATCTGGAACTACATAAATATAGAAAGAACACTTTTTTTGAGGCATTTTGTCTTTGTTTTTCTCTCCGACTCCAGAGCTGACTACTGATCTGTGGAGAACTGGCTTAGCACTTACAGTGCAGCCAACTCACAACGCACACACCCGAACACACACACTGCCTGACACCATCCGCCGGGCTCACAGTATGTGGGACACTACAGTTATCAACAACGCCTCATTTCACCCATTTAGCCTGGTGGCGTGCTGGCTTTCAGTTTTTAGCACATCTGGCCAGCAGCACATGGCTGCCAGTGGGCTTCTGTCTAATTTCATACCCTGCTAGCACTGGGCATTTGGTGGAGTCACTAAAACCTTGTTTTTAAGAAGGAAAAAAAAATGCTGCAATTTGAGAAATGTTTCTAATATTAACCTGAACATGAACAAGATTAGTCTGTTAATCCCCAGTGTGTTTAAGTGATGGTCCACACACTCTACAAACTATTGTCCTTGCCACACAGAAGCCTTCCTGCAAACTCTTTACTATATAGTAACTATAGCAGCACTTCAGTTAATAGATGGCATTTTCAGGCACATACAGCAGACCTTTATTGTAATTCTATATCTTATAGCTTCAGTCCAATTCAATTATTTTCAAGTCTCAAAACAAGTAGGTGTAAACTTTGAAAGCAGAAATAGCACATTCCACCAGGATCTTATGGTACAAACCTGACTGAGATATTGCTTTGACATTACTGAGCCAGTTCAATGCCACTCAGTGACTTGCATTAGACTGTATTTTAGAATTTACCACTGTCCCATAATTTATGTCCACAATGGCTGCTTTATAGCAAAGGTTACATAGGCTCACTTGATAATATGAAAGCTGATTTCTTTGGTAAAGGCACAGCATGTATGTGAAGTCAAAGGTTTATGACTAAAATAACTATATATAAACTATTGTGTTCTGATTCTGCTTAAGATCTGTTTCCATAAGTAAACACACAACATTGAGAAGCAAAATATTTAAGGAACCCTTCAAAATACAGTATGTACTATATGATTAATGCAGGGGTCACTGTCTAATCTGCTGATTATTGTTTTCATTATTTGATTTATCTTTTTATTTTTGACTTCCTAGAGTCAATAATTTTAGTTTTTCCCTTTAATTTGTCACTCATGACTATTTAAATTGAAACTTTTTAATTTAATCACTTTTACTGGCCAAGTATGGTGGCACTGTCCCTGAAAGGCACTGACCTGACCATCAGGAGCAACTTGGGGTGAAATGATGAAGACAATTGCAGATTGTACCTTTAAACTTGCTGCATGTACCGATGTGACATCAGCAGAATAAATTCATTTCTACTCAGTTTCGACAAAATGCCCTACTGTAGTAATTATTTACTAATTTTTAGGAACCTTATATGAGCAGGCCTGAAGGCACTGTTATAAAGAAATGGCGATGATAACTTTAGGAGGTGCTGATTGCAGATCATGGTGATAGTGATCATGGATTCAATGCTGCTGCTGATGATGAGGGTGATGAAGAGGATTATCAACCTCTGTGTCTGGTATTCAAAAGTGCTGCAGAGAGCAAACAGTCACTGAGAACTGACTCAAGGCTGCAAGGAAGTAAACTAACAACAACAACGGATGCTAAAAAGAGAGGACGAAGGCTCTTAGACGCCAGTGACACAAGTTCATCTTCTTCACTTCAGCTAGCGAGGTCATTCAATGAGACGGCCTCTAGCTTGAGAGCAGGCGTATACACCCACACAGACATACTGCAGCCTCTGTAACTTGAGGGCTGCCAGACATTCTCTGCACTTCACTCTGACTCTCACGCTCACACAGTTTTGTTTCTAGTCAAAGTTTTGTCAAAGTTTGTTAAGATACAGTTTGCAGTGTGGAAAAATGTGCTCTTTCCTATTATCATTTACAGGTAGGTCATTTAAAGTTGCACCAACAATTTGTTTTATTGAAAATAATGAGATTCAACTCTTTTTTTTTTAATAGTGAATAAAATGACATGTCATGTAACATGTGTCACATGTAGAGATAAACTCACAGCTTTGTAAAAAGCTACAAAACCCAACACTGATGCCGAAACATACTACAGTACACTCTGTGGTTAATCTGAGCTTGTTTATGGGTGGAACTATATCAATATGAAGAAGAGCAGAAACATCAATACTCAAAAAGGTTTAAAAAAAAACAAAACAACTAGAGCAGGATTTCTTCTAGACGATGTGCAGCCAGCAGCGGCGTACAGTGTAGAACAAGACTTACTGTAGCTACTGGGTTGATTAATCAAAGCTCTCCTGACAACTCTAAATCCAAAACTCCCATTAAGAAGATTTTTTTGGCAGACTTACCTCCAGAGTAGTTAAGACGATTTTGGCTACAGAAGAGAAGTAGGCGTCCCAGAGGAACTGAGTCTGCTGGCGGAGAGCCAAGATCCTGTCACGGCCCACGGATCGCGTAATGGAGGGAACCTGGAGGAAGAGGAGAGATGGAAATGCCACAAGACAAAAATGACAGTGAGATAAATTAAGTTAGATTTTAAACACTGTTGAGTGAGGGGATGAGAGCTGGTGTGTGTGTGTGTGTGTGGGGGCTTTACTTGACCAGCCAGCGCTCCAAAACCAAACCATTTAATTTACTGTGATACAAAACAGAGAAAAACAGCTTGGAAAGTCTGGAACCAGCAAATATTTGGTATTTTGGCTTGATAAAAGATGATCCTAGTATCAAATTTGTTATCAATTAATTTTCTGTTCAATTAATTACTGTATTTCAACACTGCAGAGGAGATAATCTGTCAAATCATTCCAGTTATGTCTACTTTAGATCATCATACCCTCGAGGGAAAACGGAAAGCCTCAAAAGAAAGTGAAGATTAAAACTTCACTAGTCAACTTTTTCATCTCTGCAACTTGACATATGCATCATACGTTGCTCCAGAAATGTTTTAATGATTGCTCATTTATTTTCTGTGGATAAATATGAAGTGACACAAATCTTGAGTTCTGCATCGGCAATGTACCAACAAACAGCAGACTCGCAGGAGCCCATTAAATATCCTGCTTCTGATGCACCAGAGGGGGGGAGCTGAGGTCCCAGTTCACACGGTCATGGAAGACATGAGCAGCTGGCTTGTGGCCTCAGAGGGAGGCAGTGAAGGCATGAAATCAATGGAGATGAGAGTCCTGCCAATCTGACTGAGGAACTAAATGTCCCAATATGTCAGGAAGATGGAGAAGGACCCTCTCATGATGCTCGTCTCAGAGTAAAACATTATCTTAGCCCCACTCAGCTTGACAATGAAGCTAAAAAGGGAATAAGCAGCCTCGTAGCCAATGTTAGTGAAGAGTCACATCAGCCTTCAAGGGCCAGTGACAGATTTAGAGCCAATGAGTTGTATAATGTTCTGGACACAGCCCCAATGCCTCTTGACTCAAAGTCTCAGTGCCAACCTGCTAGATATAGTAAAATAGCTACTGCGGTCTAAAAGAGGAATAATGACCAATGATGCTAATATCAGAGCAGCCAGAGCATGAAACACTGGCCATAGTCCAGGGGGAGACAGCAGCTGCTTGGCTCCATCTCTCAGGCTGCGAGTACAGAGCTTCTCCTCAGTTTGCGAAGCTTTTTGAGGCCCAGTGAAACAGCAGCAAACAACAATGAGCATCTTTATATTTTTAACTAATTTCCCCTGAAAAATACCTTGATTTCATTTAGAAATAGATTTCTTGAAACCAAATTTCACCTGCATTTTGTGTCCCTACAGACCCAAAGGTTTTTGTTTCCTTTACTCGTTTCCTTAGTTTCCTTTGCAAAAGGAGACTGATCACTGCAGTTTACAGTAACACAACAGCAGCAAGTGGAGATCACTGCACTGACCACTGCAGAGGTCTCTGACAAAAAAATGTAACCACAATGCAATGTGGTGTCATCCACCCAAATCAAAAATGTACAAGCATGCATCCCAAAAAGTGTATTTCTACTGTTTACCTCAAAATCACCTCAACAAAAGATAAAATACTTGCCACTGTAATAACTTTCCAGAGCAGTAAAATCCATTCTTGTCGTATTAGACACCGCTGTGCAGTGTTCTGGTGTCTGATAAGCCTTCAAAGTTATGTTGCTGCTTCTCAAATTGGGATTCGTGGATTGTATTTCATGTTGCTCCAGTGCTTGAAACAACATCAGTGCAGCCACAGACTGCAACACTGACAGCTCAGAAAACCTTATGGAACTAGAAATTGTTTATGAACACTAAAAAATGAGAAAGAAAATAAGTCCATGAAAACCCGTGCCTTCATTAAGTAGTCTGAGGACAGTATGGGCGCCTACTGCTGGTGCTGATGTCACTGGGATCTGCTGATGGTAGAGCAAGCTTTAATTGTTCAGCTCTCTGAGGTGGAATATAAACAATGCCAATCAAATCAGCTCACTTCTCTTCCCCCTTAGTTGTGTATTGTGCACGTCTCCTCTCCACAGGGGGAACAGGAACTCTACATATTAAACAGCCAGGTATTGCTGTTCTCAGTGATGTAATTGAAAGTAATGAGATTCAAGTCTCTCAGCAGGTGTTAGAGCCTCGATGTCATGTTGAAGAGTGAGTCTGGGTGACCATGTGCCTTAGTGAGACGGTAAGACAAAGGGGGTAAACATCCACAGTCTGTTTACCAACCAGAACCATGTTTGTTATTATATGTGTTTACACTGTACAGATGCTGTCACTTAGGCCACGTGCAATAAAGCCTGAATCCTGACCCTGAAGGAGTCTATTCTGACATTCTTTCAAAATGTAATGCTGTTAGACTAAACATTGATGGCTGAGTTATTCCTTGTTCCACTATAGCTAAGAGCCTTGGTGCTATTGTAGATAGTACTCTATCATTTAATGATCATATAAACTATTCTTCCATCTTTGAAACGTCGCCAGGCTGTGGCCCCCTCTCACCAAGGCGAGTGTAGAGGTTTTGGTCATCGTGCTTATGATATCGCACATTGACTACTGCAACTTGATTCTATCTGGCACACCGAAAAAAACCCACTCAGCAGGTTCAGAATGTACATAATACTGCTGCGAGAGTCGTTTAGAGTTCCAGGTCATATGAACATATTACACCGCCTTTGAGACAATAATAATATTCAGTTTAAATCTCCAATATGTAATGTTTTTCAAATATTTTTGTTAATTTGGACAGGTGCTGTCACTGAACAGCCCTGGCAGCAGTGCAAAGGTATTAGCTTGAGCAGGACTGACCTCTCTAACCAGTCAGAGAGGTTCAATTATTTCTGCTTGATCATTAAAGTTTTGTTGCATTCTCATTTATTGTAATTTTATAACAACAAATATCTGAAGAGCTGGGCAGAATGCAGTAGATCATAGTGAAGCTCAGTTAGTGACTATGGATGATAGAGTATTTGCTGCTTGGATTTGGAACAAGCTTCCAAACTAAGGCCAATGAACTCAAATGAAACTTTTAAAGTTGCTTTAAAGACCTGACTGCTTTTAATGTTTAATGCTGATGATGTCCAGCAGTGCTACTTCCCATTTTGTTCTATTTAATTTTGGTTTCAATTTGATGGCATTTCATTGTTGTGCTTAATTTATACTTGTGTTTCTGTATTATTGTTTGGTACTATATTGTTGTAAAGCTCTGAAATTATTAGTATTATTTGTGTAACATTGATTTAATTCCTGTTTGGAAATGTTACTGAGGAAACCATCTGGATTTCAGCTTTGAACTTTGAAGGAGTGTTTGAGGGTTAGTCAGTGCAGACATGGCCTGATGTGTGCTCAGATGTCCGAGTGTGGATCTGTGTGCAACATGACAGAAAGTAAATGTGCACAGCAGTCATCTTGTGTTTGATTTTATCGTGTTGTGTACTCACAAATGTCAGGCTTTATCCTGAAAGCCTTGGAATTATTTGTACAGTATGCCTGCATCAAGACCAGGCAAATTAATGGGAAAATTGCTTGTTTTGTTCAACCTCTGAAATTAATGTGAACACCCTCAGTATTCACCCTGTCAAAACAACACTTTCTTCACACATATTAACTTAAGCAACAATTAGCATGCTTTTAGATAGATGGGTTTGTTTTGTTGAAGGGGATAAACAACACAAAATAACCTCTAACAACATTAGAGCATCACTGTGGGTTTCAGTAATGTTCAGTGATAAAAAGACTGCTTCATTCCATCTACATGTAAAAGCCAACTTTGTAATTCTTTTAATAAGGACCTTTCTGCTATTGGTAGATTCACAGAGAAAATTTTAATTATCATCATGGCTAGGTGCTGATAGAAGGCTGATAGGGGACCAGGCACACATTAATTAAAGGCAGATACAGTGTACAACCCCCAACACACACACACACACACACACACACACACACGTGCTGATGTCACTGGGATCTGCTGATGGTAGAGCAAGCTTTAATTGTTCAGCTCTCTGAGGTGGAATATAAACAATGCCAATCAAATCAGCTCACTTCTCTTCCCCCTTAGTTGTGTATTGTGCACGTCTCCTCTCCACAGGGGGAACAGGAACTCTACATATTAAACAGCCAGGTATTGCTGTTCTCAGTGATGTAATTGAAAGTAATGAGATTCAAGTCTCTCAGCAGGTGTTAGAGCCTCGATGTCATGTTGAAGAGTGAGTCTGGGTGACCATGTGCCTTAGTGAGACGGTAAGACAAAGGGGGTAAACATCCACAGTCTGTTTACCAACCAGAACCATGTTTGTTATTATATGTGTTTACACTGTACAGATGCTGTCACTTAGGCCACGTGCAATAAAGCCTGAATCCTGACCCTGAAGGAGTCTATTCTGACATTCTTTCAAAATGTAATGCTGTTAGACTAAACATTGATGGCTGAGTTATTCCTTGTTCCACTATAGCTAAGAGCCTTGGTGCTATTGTAGATAGTACTCTATCATTTAATGATCATATAAACTATTCTTCCATCTTTGAAACGTCGCCAGGCTGTGGCCCCCTCTCACCCAGGCGAGTGTAGAGGTTTTGGTCAGCGTGCTTATGATATCGCACATTGACTACTGCAACTTGATTCTATCTGGCACACCGAAAAAAACCCACTCAGCAGGTTCAGAATGTACATAATACTGCTGCGAGAGTCGTTTAGAGTTCCAGGTCATATGAACATATTACACCGCCTTTGAGACAATAATAATATTCAGTTTAAATCTCCAATATGTAATGTTTTTCAAATATTTTTGTTAATTTGGACAGGTGCTGTCACTGAACAGCCCTGGCAGCAGTGCAAAGGTATTAGCTTGAGCAGGACTGACCTCTCTAACCAGTCAGAGAGGTTCAATTATTTCTGCTTGATCATTAAAGTTTTGTTGCATTCTCATTTATTGTAATTTTATAACAACAAATATCTGAAGAGCTGGGCAGAATGCAGTAGATCATAGTGAAGCTCAGTTAGTGACTATGGATGATAGAGTATTTGCTGCTTGGATTTGGAACAAGCTTCCAAACTAAGGCCAATGAACTCAAATGAAACTTTTAAAGTTGCTTTAAAGACCTGACTGCTTTTAATGTTTAATGCTGATGATGTCCAGCAGTGCTACTTCCCATTTTGTTCTATTTAATTTTGGTTTCAATTTGATGGCATTTCATTGTTGTGCTTAATTTATACTTGTGTTTCTGTATTATTGTTTGGTACTATATTGTTGTAAAGCTCTGAAATTATTAGTATTATTTGTGTAACATTGATTTAATTCCTGTTTGGAAATGTTACTGAGGAAACCATCTGGATTTCAGCTTTGAACTTTGAAGGAGTGTTTGAGGGTTAGTCAGTGCAGACATGGCCTGATGTGTGCTCAGATGTCCGAGTGTGGCTCTGTGTGCAACATGACAGAAAGTAAATGTGCACAGCAGTCATCTTGTGTTTGATTTTATCGTGTTGTGTACTCACAAATGTCAGGCTTTATCCTGAAAGCCTTGGAATTATTTGTACAGTATGCCTGCATCAAGACCAGGCAAATTAATGGGAAAATTGCTTGTTTTGTTCAACCTCTGAAATTAATGTGAACACCCTCAGTATTCACCCTGTCAAAACAACACTTTCTTCACACATATTAACTTAAGCAACAATTAGCATGCTTTTAGATAGATGGGTTTGTTTTGTTGAAGGGGATAAACAACACAAAATAACCTCTAACAACATTAGAGCATCACTGTGGGTTTCAGTAATGTTCAGTGATAAAAAGACTGCTTCATTCCATCTACATGTAAAAGCCAACTTTGTAATTCTTTTAATAAGGACCTTTCTGCTATTGGTAGATTCACAGAGAAAATTTTAATTATCATCATGGCTAGGTGCTGATAGAAGGCTGATAGGGGACCAGGCACACATTAATTAAAGGCAGATACAGTGTACAACCCCCAACACACACACACACACACACACACACACACACACATGCTTTCACGTCTCTGTGTTGTTGTCCAGGTGGTGATGTAGGTCACGCAGGTGCCATGTGGTAATATAGAGAGTAATTAGAGAATGTAAATATCAGAAGCTCTGTCTGCTGCTGTAATTAAAAATAACAGAAGGTGGTCCAATTGTAGAATAATCTCTCTTAGATAAAAACAGCTCCTGGTGGAGGTGTGAGTGACTGTGAATATCACAGCTGTCAAATCAGAATAAAATAAAATTAACGAAAAGCCACACGACTGCAATTAGATTTCCTTTTTCTCTCAGTTGAGCTGAATGTCGACACATCACTTATGTGCTGACAGTTCCCACTTCTGACAGGAGTTTGGCTGAGTTTCTCTAAAAAATAAAAATCCCACCAACTTTTTCTTCCTGGTTTTTATTTCGAGAGATATGGCACTATCTGTGATTCCACTGACAATGTGCGTCTGCTGCTTGTTTTTTTTGTGGCTTTTACATAAAATCTCAAACACTGAAAAAATAGGTGGAGGGGAAAAATACCATACTTACTTGTATAATTACCAGGAGAAAAGATTTAGGTGCGTGGATTGAGAGAACAACATTTAGCTATTTCCTCTCAAATCTCCAACTAAATACATCAGATTTTGCATCAAAGCCATTAAAGAGAAACTGATGAAACTGGCAGTTGTGTTTGTCATCAGCAGCTGACAGGGACACACATCTGCTCCCACAGGTTTGCATAGCGGCTCCTGATATATGAGGTTTACGTCTCTGCTTGAATCGGCCCCAGCTGGATTTTGGTGATTGCCCAGGGGGATCTGGAGCCAGAGATGACAATTATAATTGGAAAGATGTTGACATTTCACCACCCAGAGACTGCATTGGCCCCCGCGGAAAGGACACGGTTTATCTTTTGATGCTTTATGCCGTGCAGCGTGAGGACACTTTGCCCACTTCAGCCAGTTTACTCGGCCGATACATTTTACCAACCTTCATTCTTATACCTGCTGTAATTGTATAATGTCATAATGAATAATTTTATTTCTCTCTCTTCATGTCCCTTTTGTATATTCTCATACCTATGCAGGATGCTTTATAGCATTTTTTTTCCCATTCATCATCACTGTCCTGTGGGCCAGACTCCACCTCTCCAAAATTTTTATCAAAATCTAGTCATTACTTTTTGAGTTGTGCTGCGAACAAACACACGGCGTCAAAAACATTACCTCTGCCTATTATTAGATATTATATAATTGCTGTTACTCACCATTAACAAATTATCAAGTCACTGCAGCTTTCTGTGATTCATTCACACTTAATAGAACAAGAATATTATTTGTACCCTTATTATAATGTGTTACATTTCATAGCATTTTCCTACCTGTAACAGCAGTCTCTCGTCTCCAATTATGGCGGCTTTCCTCCAGTCGATCACTTCAGAGAAAGGAAGCTCCCAGCCGTTACTCAGAATAAATGGGATACAGGCTGCCTGTGAGGAAGGAGAAGTGAGGGAAACAACACCAAAAGGAAGGATCATTGTGTTGTTCAAAGTGTTTGGATTTGGAAAACGTAGGAGGAACTTGTGTTGTGTAGTTACAGGTTACATGAGTTCATGCCTGGATCACAGATTAAAGATTATCATTGTTAATTTAGCACAATTTTCAGCTCTGTTTTGCTGCAAAAAAGGAATAAAGAACATGCCATTTCAAAGTTTTCACAGTGTGATAGAAAAAAAACCCCAGTAACACAAGTTTAAAGCAGAGCTCTGTTTTTCTGTCCGTTTTCCTTCCTTTGCTGACAGATCGATCCTTTTAGGTATTTTCTGTCTGATGGGACACTTTCAACGTGCTCCAAGTTGGAGTTGTGCAGAAACAAAATGGAGATGCCAAAACGACTATGGATAAAATGTGTATTTACCTATTTGTCCTGTATGCATCGATATTTAGAGGATTCATTTATGTAACTTAATTGATCAGGAGCTGTTTACATGTCCCAGAGGAGCTCTGCTATAAGAAAAATATGCCATTTTCTGGCTAATTATTCTTCATATTGAAAAAAGAAATACTATAAAAATTCACTCCACAATTCTCCTGCCCACAGGAGAAGGCAATGGACAAAAACTAGAAGTGGGCAAATTATATAGTTATATAGTACAGTTTGTCAGCAATTGTAACTCTTAATTTGTTCACGTGTCATAAATAATTGATTACAGCTATGATATAGAGTGTCATCAAACCAAAAACATATGTAAAATTCCTGTTTTCAGAATATTGTATGTCTGATATGTATAACTGCATGTGAAATTGTGTACTGTAGGGATGATGTAGTTTTCTAAGCCAACCTGGAAGTTAGCATCACCCCAGTTCCCTCAACAAAAAGCCAATGTGATTTTTTTCCATAGGCTTTTTTGATTATCTGTCGTAAGCAATGGTTTATGACACTTGTGCTTTGTTCAGCAAGATAATCTTCACAAGTGAACAGCTTTATGGTATTTGAAGCCCAAATACAATTGCCAGGCTATAAACAAACTACACCATGGTCCCATAACTTCAGTGGCGAAATTCTTTTCTCTCAGCATGACCTCATCTAGCTAGTGATCATGGCTGTGTCAGTTTGTTAGAATAGTTTGCAATTGCACGAGCTGAAGCATAACAAGGCTGTAAAGGGGATTAGTGAGGAGATGAGGCTCCATATTTGGCGACATGACGCCTTTTACAAGACTTGTAAAAGCATTAAAAATCACAAGTAAGGGTATTTACTAATGTATTTTATGATGTAGAATAAAACAAAAATGTATTGGCCTTGTGTTACCACAGAACCAAAAACCCACTGTCTTCAAGGCGAAGGAACCAGTAGTGCAAAAATGCTGACTCGGTTCCTGGTTGTAGGACTCACTACTACGGCAACTGGTTATACATATTATAATGTCATTAGTAAACCATATACTGCCTCTAAACACTGTCAGGGGGTAGACTCAGAACTGATGGGAGGGAGAATGTGTTGTGTGATCCTGGGCCATGTTTGAGTCGAGGGTCAAATGAGTTATAGCTTCACTTTAATAACTCAAGCAGCAACAGAGATGAGTGGGAAAAATTCAGCAAGTCTGGTATTTTCATTTAAAGTTCAAGTTTGACTGTATTCTCAATCAAGCAAAGCTGAGAGATTAAAGGATATTCACAAAATGCCGAGTGCATGATCAGCGACCTGTCTAGGCAAATTCTCTCTGCTTTGATTAGCCTGGCATTGTGGGGCTCCTTTCTCTCTTCTTTCTTTCTCTCTTTCTCTCTCTCTGTCATCCTCTTACATGTCTTTGTTTTTCTGCCCTCTCCTCTGCTGTCCTCTGAATTTTAATGAATAGTACACCTTTACATGCATCTTCTTTTCCCTTTAATTGTTTTTCTCTGGCAAACAGGTTGGATTTGCTGAAAAATCCATTCATAAGTTAGCATGCATTTAAAGTGAAATTTTAATTAAAAGCATCGGCAATTTTTTCTGCCAATCATTTTTCCTGTCCCTTTACATATCTTACCAAAGAAAATCTCTTAACTTCTCTCATGTCACCAAGACGTTCAGCCTGTACTTGCTCACTATGTGATAAAAAACACTACAGAGAAGTTGGTGGGGCCTGTGTCTTGTTTGTTTCCTGTGTAGTCTGGTAACTCACTGGCATTTAAAACTATAAACTATAAACTATAGGCAGTTAACAACAATAACCAGATAACTTTGAACCTGGTCTCAGCTGGACATATAACAGGAAAGTGAGGAAAAACCAGCCAGGGTCAAGCACAGGGCTCAGCCAGGTTCACGGAGTCACAATAGAGAGGACACGCACAGAAGCAAGCTGCTAATGAAATCTGAACATATCTGGGTCTGAGGACGTGTATAAACGGTTCTCTTCTCCGTGGTGTATCTACAGAAACAAGTTGCTGCTCTGACAGGAGATGACAGATTGTCAATATTAATAAGATGAAGTGTTGGTAAAAAGAGGCCAGGGAGCTGTTTGATTCCTTGCAGTACTCAGCTAGAGCGCCACAGGTTGTCTAATAAATCTTTAACAATCACCATGCAAGACTTGTAATGGAGTCCTGCAATTCATTCAAGTAAAAGTTTTTTTTCTTTTTAGATTTTTACATTACAGTATTGCTTCTTTTGAGTAAAACGTCTAAATATGTGTTCTACTGCTTCCTATTTATTACATCGCTGAAATAAAATATGGAGGGAAAAAACACTTGCTTACTCTCACTTGTGAGTCTAAAGTATTTTCACATGTTGCTCACACACACCTGCAGGAATACAGTGCGCACTGACATTATCTCTGAAAACAGAAACACACAGACGCACCTGCAAGGCCTCCAGGAAACGAAAGGATCCAAGACGCCGACCCCGAGGAACCAGGCAGAAACTGGAGTTATGGAGCAGCTCCTGATAGTCGAACCTACACACACACACAAATAAAACATTAGGTTAGAATAAAGAAAAGTAAAATAAGAACATGATGCAACTTCTGAGTGTACAACCTGTACAAGAGAGCATTAACACTGTAAAAACGAATGATCAAGCTCTATTTGAGAGAGAGAAAACAGCACGATAAGACAACAGAAAATGAGAGGGGATATTTTGACTAATTTCTTAGAATCCAAAAGGTGAAGACATTTTCTTGGTGAAAATATTGTGTTGAAAGAAACAAAGGGCACAGTGACAAATGATTGTCAAACCCTAAATCCATTTCCTCCAGTATCCTCACAGATCAATTTCAGAGAACAATCAAAAGTGGCCAGCAAAGACTTTTTCAAGGACTTGATCTCTTCCATAAAATGTGTTCTAGTAGAAGGGAGAGTGATAGCTCCTGCAAGCCAGAGGATACATGGTGGATAAATAATGAAATTTGCTGAGGAAAAAAAGCAGCTAATAGAATCTTCTGACTCCACTCAGCATCCACTTCTCATCAATGCCAGAATCCTACTGATGTTGTGCTCCAGAGGTCAATAAATCTGGACTCGAAGCTCAGCTTAGCTGATTTGCAAAACCTGCCGTTAATACTTGTGCAGCTTCCCAAAAGAGAAGAACATCATTTTCATAGTCTTATAATTTCCAATTAGAAGTGTAAAGCAGTGGTTCCCAAACGTTTCCTGCCGGGCCCCTCATTTTGTAGCCACCCACAACCATACACGTCAGTTATATTTAGCCATTAAACGTCACAACAAAGGTATTTTTAGCAAAGGTGTGGCTAAAGACACAGAGAAAAGTTGTTAAAATCAGAAAAATCCAAATGCTCCAAACTGTGGTACAGGAAACAGAGAGGAGGACACTTGGTAGTGTCCACTCAGTTTTGTGGTCATTCTGAGAGCGGAGCTATTTTTTGTTGTAGCTGTGGTCTGTCACCTGAAAAGCTGTTTCTGATACAGTTTTTCTTAAACTACAGCAATAAAATCATGGAATCTGTAATTGAACTGGGTAAATTACAGTTTCATTAACATTATAATAATACAATTTATATGCAAGTATTTCATATATTTTCCTACTGTACAAATCATCATACTAGATTTACCACATGATTCTTGCTAAAGTGTGTTCTTCTCTGTAGTGTTCCACAATGTTGATGTTTTAATAAAACTATTTCTTATTAATTACCCAATACAAAATAAATAAATAAAAAGCCTGAGGTATGAACCAAACCATGGCTCAAAAACCAAGGTCTGAACCATGGATTTGGTGACTTATTACACCAATATCTCATATATATGTAAATTGTGCTCTCTTTCAAAAGGAGATTGTGATTAATCCTAAATAGTTTTATTAAAACATCAACATTGTGGAACACTACAGAGAAGAACACACTTTAGCAAGAATCATGTGCCGAAATACTTGTTGATGTTGTTCTTCTAAATGGGCCAATATTTTCTTCTACCCGACCTATCCACTACACACTGATTTTTTTAAGTTAAAGTACAAAAGTTTACAGGAACTTAACAGCAGCCTTCTATCAACGCTGATGGTTCCAAAAACTTCCTTCAAACTTTGTTGGACTTTCAACTTGCAAGTCACTTCGGTCTGTCCAAAGTCACTGATTTTAAAGCTGTGTGAGAGTGTGTGTGTGGGTGTGTGTACACATGATCTCAGGGCTGGCCGGAGGAGATTTGAGATTGCAGGCTAATCTGTCTGGGGATCAACTGTCCCCACAACCTCACCTCCAGACACCTGTGTGTGTGTGTGTGTGCGGCCTTATTTATATATACTTGTGGGGACAGAACACTGGGAGCACAATGCTTACCGGGGACCACAGGCCGGGCCCCAAAACTAATTCATTGAATTTTACAAAAATGACGAGGTGTAAGGTGTAAGGCTCTCATCTTTTCCTTCCTTTCGCAGAGGCTTCACCTTTTGTTTTTGGGTAATACAGTGAAGGCACAGCTGCTTTATCCTGAGCCGGTACCCTCACTCTGGAATACTGAGCATCTACTGTACCACCTCTGTTGTTTATTGTCTCAATCAGAAAATATTTGAAATACTTATTTGTGTTATTAAGTAATACTCTATAAATCTGTTTATCATTTCTAAAATGTGACATAAAATAACTAAAAGCTTAGAGGCTTGGTTAGATTCTGATGTTTACTTATTTTTCGATCACTTCCCCATCTAAACTTTAACCCTGGTTTTACCTCGTTATTTGTCGCAGTCTTTCTGTGCTACAGAACGTGGCCTCTTAGGTCTAACAGGTCCACTCCCATCATAGGTTGTACCTGCCCAGGGAGCCTCCATGGTCTGTCTTTGAAATGAGCCATACTGGTTTGAAGAAGGTGTCTTATAACCTCGGATCAGCGGGGGTTGTGGAATATGTGTGGTGCGGATTTTAACACTGGCCATAGAGGCCGAGAAATAAACACAAGGCCTGAAGATAGCAGAGTGGGGCGGGGTTAGGTGCAGCAGGGAGACAACACTTCCAGGCAATTTTTCACTTGGTTTATCTGAATTTGTGCTAAATCTTAGTTAATACAGATTAATACAAGCTCAAAATCAGCTGACAATGTATGAAAGGTCAAATAGGCTAATAACAGAGAAGGATACGAACACAATTTCCAAGGTTAAGAAAGCTATAATGAGCTAACACCAGACAATTAGTAAAGTAAATCATCCATATGCTACACCTGCTCACAGCACCACCTAGAGTTTACAACAGCCTTGAAGTCAATCTGAGATACCAAGCTCTTTAAATTAAATTTCAAGTGGCTTGTTTCCCATCTCTGTCTGTATGCTAAGAATACAGATGTGAGACAAATGAAAGAAAAACAACCCTGAATAAATGAGTGGTCTCTTCCAGGATGACAGAGCCTCCATCCACAGGGCACAATGGGTCACTGAATGGTTTGATGAGTATGAAAATGATGTGAATCATATGCCGTGGCCTTTTTACAGACACTAGGAGGTGATGGGGTCCAGCAAAGTGCTCAGCAGGGATATATTTACCATCAAGATTGCCAGTGCTATTTTCAGGAAAAACATCTTTGTACTAGTTACTTTTTAAAGCGGCATTCATCACTTTTTGGCCACTAGAGGGCAGAAAAATCCCATAACAAGATGACAGATACACAGAATTTGTTTCAGCTCTGATTTTGATGACAATAACTGGAAGTTAACATTTTCTCTTCCTGACAAGTTGTACTTTAATAAAATGTTTCCTTTTCCCCTTGAGTGTTTTAAAAATGGTGCTACATTTCAAATGCCTTTTCACACAAATTTGTCAACTCATTTCTTTTTTTTTTTAACAACTAGCTATAGACTTAAAATAATAACAGCATAAGTGTTTATGAAGATTCAAGACTTTTTTTGCCATTTGTGCATAAACAGACAGTCTAGGCCTATAGGAATTCTTGTGCAGCTCTCCTTTGGAGTCAGGTAAGGAGTTAAATGCCAGAAAGAACACTTAGTCTTAAAATAGAAAAGGTCCATAAGGGCGACAAAGTTTTAAAACACAATACACAAAAATAGGGTAGTAGTATTTTCCCCAGTGAACTTCAAACATTGCACTTAGTAATTCACATGGTGGAGTTGGATATGTCATTATGCTTGGTGAGATAGTGAGGGGTTACTGCCCATGTCTAGTAAGGGGTTATTGCACATATATTCTCACATTTCTCACATTTTCGTATTTGCCATCAGTCTTACTGCAGCAGGGAAAAAGCTGTTGTAAAGTCTTATTCTGTGTGTGATGATACTGTCTGCTGTGCCTGAGGCTGTAGGTGCAGTATTTGTGTCTGAGCAGGGTGTGAGCTGGGTGGCGTGGATCCCGGATTATGTTCTCTGCCCTTTTACGACAGCGCTGTGTGTACAGTGTGTCCATAGCAGGTAGTTCAGTCCCAATGATCCTCTCTTCAGTCTTTATGACCCTTTGAAGAGCCTTCCTCTCTGCCTGTGTGGTGTTACCATACCAGACTGTGATGCCAGTAGTGAGGCTGCTCTCTACCAGTCCTCTGTAAGCCTGGGAGAGAGGGCAATGGTTCAGACCAGCTTTTCTGAGCTGCCTGATGAAGTTATAGCCGCTGCTGGGCTTTCTTCACTGTGGCAGCTGTGTTCAGTTACCAGCTCAGGTCAGATGTCACCTGCAGGCCCAGGAACTTGTGGCTGTCAAGAATGCATCAGGCCCTACTGTGTATTAAAAGCCAAGCCAAATAAATATGTTTTAAGCGATGATTTAAAAGTACTGAGGTCAGTAGCTGACCTAACATTAAAGAGTAGACTATTCCACAATTTAGGGACTGCAACGGTAAAAGCACGGTCACCCCAGCGTTTATGTCTGGCCATGGGAACCTCTAAAAGAAACTGGATTGAAGTGTCAGCATATTTAATGATGATGGTGTTGTTATGGTTGGAGAGACAGTGTACAGGGTGAAGAGTTTGGGGCTGACACAGAAGCCCTGCGGTAAGCCTGTGCTGATTGTGAGCTCAGCAGACACCCACCCCCCCATTCTCACCACCTGTGGTCTTTTAGTCAGGAAGTCCAGAATCCAGTTACAGGCGGGAGTTGGTACACCGAGGTCTGTCAGCTTCCCAATCAGCCTGCCTGGGCGAATGGTGTTGAATGCAGAACTGTAATCTAGAATGAGCATCCTAGCATACGTACTGCTGTTGTCCAGGTGTTTCAGGGTCTGGAATAAAGCCAGAGTGTTGCATTGTCCACTGATCTGTTGGGCCGGTAGGCAAACTGGAGGGGGTCTACAGTGTCTGTCTGTGGTTAATGTGTGTGAGGACCAGTTTCTCTAAGCACTTCATGGCGACTGATGTGAGCGCCACTGGCCTGAAGTCATTCAGAGTGGATGTGTGTGACGTCTTAGGGACCGGTATGATAATGGATGTTTTTGAAAATGCGAGGAACTACTGCTTGGGTTAAAGACAGGTTTAAGAAGTCTGTATACACACTAGCTAGTTGATCCCCACAGGCTTTCAACACTCTAGGGGGGACACCATCTGGTCCCACTGCCTTATGGGGGTTTACCTGTTTCATGGCCTTAGGGACCTGTGTGTCACCTGAGACACATCGGGAGAGTATAATGTGTTTAGTCTTTAAGCACTAAACATTTCCTAATATTTATTCTTGGTCCACCTAATTTTTATTTCCATAAGTTAAACAAGGATATTGTTTTCAGTAATTAGACCTACTAATCAGTTAGAGCCACATATATAAATGGTGGCACAGGAGTTGGTGTCAATTAAAATGCAAAGTCAGCAGAGTAAATGCTCCCTTAGTCCATTACAGTGAAGAAACATTTAAATACATGAATTTCTTAGCTGCTCCTATGTGGGGCTTTAAGGCAGAAGCGCCCATAAATCAGGCCACTGGAGAAAAATTTGTCTAAATTCAAGTTATTAAAGCAATTCAAAGGAATCATCTGATAAAGCCAAACTGATAAAAGCGTGAAGACAACTGTGGTCAAGGCTAAAAAGTGACGGAGGGAAAAAGTGTGAGCTGTTACATCATGGCCCCTGGCTCTTTAAAGTCTGTTGGAAGCTGTTTAAAAACTCATCAGAGCATCAACAAGCTATTCAGTCCACTACCAAAGAGCACAGCAGGGAATGTGCGTGTGTGTGTGAGAGAGTGAATGAGCTGCGGCTTTCTGGCATGGTTAGTTTACAAATGTGTGTTCCCACATTATCGCAGAGGCGTGCTCAGGCATTTAAAAGCACCGTCTCCAATCTGTCGTCAACTAATCACATAACTCTGCTTTAGTGGCTAATGCCACAAACAATAGGGAGAGACGAGCGTCTGGCTGAGTGGAGAGAGCTTGAGTAAATTGAAGCTTTTTACTTTGTCCCTATGAAGAACCAGAAGAGGATAAGAGTAAACTTACGTAAACATGCTTGTCAGATCATGAGAAAGGCTCTACCCCAACAATTTTTGTAATATTCTGATGTCTGACAAATTTCCAAAACCACCGGTAAGACGCTTTCTGCAGCAGTTAAGCAGGATTGTGGGGACACCTTCTACACAACTGAGTACAACACCATAAGAGACTGTATGCAGTGGGGTTTTTTTTGACCCCCACCCTCCCGAATTAATCTCTTCTCACCCCTTCCTATTATTTCAGGCTTTAGCCCTCACCTTAGAGTGTGACCATTTGGAACAAGTATGCACCTGTTATACAGGTCACAGCCTGACTACTCTGATGTGAAAATGCTATCATAACAGAGGTCTGCTCCCGTCAAGTTTCATTATAACATCAGAAGACAGGCGGCAGAAGACAGACGGCAGGAGTTCACAATAAACACCTTTGCGTCGAGTGTGTGCATTTGAGAGAGAATCATTTGCATGTTCACTGCTGTGTCGGTGTGTCTTTGAGACAGAGAGGAATTTCCATATTTATTACTGCATACCGTATACTGTATGTGTGCGAGGGTGAACGCAAACATCCCAGCTGAGACCGATTCCTTTCCTGGCTGAGTTGAAGCACAGGTCTCTGGGCTGGTATTAAAGCTTAATGTAACAGACTGGTCTGGCTCAGAATATTAATGCTCATTCACCATTACATATATTACTACCACACAGACGCAGAGCTAATCCTATATAAATGCTTTCTTTCCAAATGTGAAAGGTAACCAGGAAACACTGTGGCACTAAATGTATGGATGTAATGGATGTAACTGCTACAGGAAACATTGAAGTTTATAATGACAAAGAAACTGCACCTAAATTTACCAAAGCCCAGGTTAATCTATTTCAATAACTTCCTGACATTTGAGATGCTGGAATTGGCAAATATTTAGAATCTCTGCTTGAAAAATGACTAAAATTATCAACTGGTTATCAACAGAGCTGTAGATTATATTTTTACCCATCAACCAACCAATTAATCATCGCAGCTTTAGCTGATTATATATCATATAGTTTAGCTTGACACATTCTGCACATTTGCTCCGACTCATAAAGAAACTGCCTTTACTGTTCAGTCCGTCTCACACACACACACACACACACACACACACACACACACACATACACACACAGTCTCACACAACACCTTGTGGATAAGGCCCACAATACCAGTCCATCTTTGTGATTTGGAAATGTCAGCCCATCACCTGCTGATCTTCACTCAAAAAACAAACAAGAGAAAAAGATGCACCATTTGCAGCTTTTTATTTCGCTACTTTGAAGGGATTTTTTTTTTTGTCTGTGGTGCTGTGGGAGCACAAGGATGTCGACCCCGAAAGGTCACAGCTGATTGGTTAACAGCAGAAAGCTTTTACCTCCTTTGTGCAGGAACGTCTGCCTGATGCCAGCATCTCTTGTTCATCCCACTTGAATGAGATTGGATACCACTAAATTCTTTTTAGCTGTACCCAAGGCCGAATAGTGTCTTGCTATTGTGAGACACCATCTGCTGCTTCAGTGGGGGAAAAGACAGTGAAATTGAAAACGAAAAGAAAAACGAGGTGGCTCTGAGAAACTGCTGTTAGACTGTCCTTAAACTTAAAATAAATAAAGTTAAATAATGAAGCTGGTCGAACAAAGTCCTTACAGCTCTGCTTTTTAATGTAACTGTCCCTAGAAATTGAGTTTATTCCAGCTTTGCTCATGCAGACCTTGGGTTTGTTACAGAAACCTCGGTTTCTTTTTTCACTCTGATCATGTTAATAGTTGGTGTGTGTACGATTAGTGTGGAGTGGTTCCTTTAAAATCTCATATATTGTAAATCTTAATACCTACTGTTTAGACTGTCAGCACTAGTCCTGAGTAAAATAGCAAAGTAGTTTCTCCATTTTTCAGGTCAAACACTCCAACCTTCAAAAGGCTGCTAGCGTTGTTATAGACTTAGACTGGTTTTGTTTAAAGTGCATTAACTAATTTCTTTTCCTATTTCCTATTTTCTTATTGAAGGGATTATAAAAGATTTACACCCCTATTCTCATTACAATAAAAAACTCTTTCAGCTGAGCCGGATCGGACCACTTTGTTCCGATTGAGATGGTTACATGATGCATTTTTATTCTGATTGAGCTACTGTTCTTGTTATTAATAATAAATAATTTCGATCCATGTAAATGCAGCTAGTGCATGATAGAATACCTAAAAATAATTTTTATTTAAAAATACCTTATATATAATGTAGTGACTGTATCACATGGATCAAGCCAAAAAAGGCTGCAGTCCATACATGGAGATCCACTGATGACCGCAAACACACACTCAATCGGACATGATGGAAAATAATGCTGTGAGGTTACCCTCGGTGGAAGCAGCCATAAATCAATAACTCTGAATACACGCCACTTAACTCTCATCCGCTCTCTGTCTTGTGCCAGAGAAGAGGTAGAAGTGAAGAAGAGTCAAAGTCACCTCGGCTCTCACCTCCCCATGCTGAAAGTTGTAAGTCCTCCCTGTTTCCAGAGATAGCGACAGGCATTAAACAAATCGGCCAGGAAATCGGAGCTGTAACAATGTCTTCTTCCTGCTGCTGAATTATTGAACACTACAAATGTAGCTAACATGAACACACAGTTAAATTCACAAGGACACACTACTATGGAATTTCATGCTGAGGTACTGATGACTGATAAGAGATGGCCCAGACCTCTCAGCATTACAGAACTGCTCTGGTGATTTCTATAGGAGTGGACAGTTGATTTTGCACAAATATCACTAATACGAGGAATCAGCACACACTATCAAGTTATATAACTTGGCTGTTTAAATTATATTCAGTCTAAAAGTTATGCATATGTAAGTTTGTGGCTGCTTTGAGTAACAGGCAGGAAGGTCCTGCAACAGGTGGGTAGCTGTCTTTCAAGCGCCACCTCTTTGTCCATTTTTGGATTTAGCCATAGCAGGTGGAGTGAAGAGCCACCAAAATGGCAACAGCCAGACTTGAGCTTCCC